TCCGTCCCATCATTGTCGGTCGCCGTGGTCATGCACTTCTACTCTAGCTGTGTATTGTGAAGTCCTACACACTTCCGCACAGAGTCAATTTGTGAGGGAAAGATTTTTCCGGTTTCAAGAAATAGCCCTCCCTTAGCAAACCCGGGCCATCATCAAGCCCTAGAGGACGGATGGTAAGTCGGGGCAAAAAACAAAAAGTGGAAGTCGCAAAAGTGTATAGGAAACTCGAGTTTCCATTAATTTTATTCAGTTGGTCGCGCAGTTTGAAGTTTAAACGGGAGGAAAAACTTGTGAGTTCGACTTTTACTATCTCTCTTTCTCTCTTGCTTCCAATGGTTGGGTTGCGGGTTGTTCACGCTGATGCGACAGACATTTATTATCCTGGCTCGGTCGAATTACGGCTGCTCGCTCACTGCCAGACGAAAGAACCATCAATAGTCTAGAAAATGTGTTTGATAAGCATGCAATTGTAGATAGGTATTCACTATCCTGTTCGCATTCATTTAACTTCATTGTAGAACTTTTGGTTGCACTTGTGATTGCCTGACTATTCTTTGATTGTAATTATACTTTCTCGCTATGGCTGGTGCTTTTCTTTCCTTCCAATCAATATTGCTCTTTCTATGGAAAATTCATAAGATTTTCGGAAATGATCAATTTCTACGGATTAACTGATTAATTTCTTATCACGGAAAGTAGCGGAATTTAAAATTAATTTTCAAGTGATTCTGCGAACATTTCTGTAAAATCCACATCTCTTTATTATCATAATTTTGCACTTATTCCTAGGATTTGTTTTAAACAAATTTGGTCTTGAATTGAGATGTAAAAAATAATAATTAAGGTATGGTTCAGTCAATACTACCAATCACTTACATTTGTAATGGGAAGGCCTTACCCTATAATGGACTAACTCTAGATCCTTATACGTTATCTTCAAAGTCATAAATATTTGTTTGAACGAAAGCTCTGAGAGTCTACGGCTACCGGAAATTATCGTTTTAGCAATCGTTTGCCCAAGTAACCAGGAAGGTTATTTCACCTTTTTGGCTATATACAGGCTGTAGTATATAAGACAGCCAAGAGAAATAAAATTAAAAAAATAAATAAATGTACTCAGATTGAGGGGATGATTGTGTGAGTGACAGTGGTGACAGTGTATCACGAATAGAGTTAGTGCAAATAATTTAATGAGCGATAGATGATCATATTTGAAGTAAAAAATTGTTCTACTCATATGATCAAATCTCAAAGATTACTGAGTTATTGAACTTTTTCTGTTTTAGTCTATGCTTGCCATAAATTGGCTCTAACCCAAAAACTATGCCATTTAGCACAAAGCTTGGTAAATTTTCTATCTAATAGTGTCATTTTACTTAAAGTAAGATGCATTTCTACACATATTAGGGATAAACGAGTCTAAAACTTGTGTTTTCCTACGGGTTTTCCCTTATTATTTCAAAAAATGCGTTATGAAGTGTATTGTTTTGTCTAACCAAAAGATGCCTCCCAAGCTTTCTTTGAAAAAAATTTTCTATCTTGTTTAGTTTTGTCGAAATTTCGTACTACACGTTGCGTTGCTGTTGACGTCTGTTTGCAGCGCGCATAGTACACTTGATCGCCACGCCGAGTTTGTAGGTATTGTTTTCCCCTGAGTTTATTGTACTCGATTATTCTCTCAATACGCTATTTCAATAGAGATTTCTGATATTTGCGGTTAAAGAATTTGAGTTAACTTATTTCTTTGTGTCAAGTACTAACATTTGTAAACAGCAGTCAATGTTAATCTATGAACAAAAGCCTACGTGACTGTAAAATCGATCTTGCCTTATGTGGTATTGACACCGACAAACCGACATGAAACTAAAACTTAACTCTTGATCGAGAATCCATAACGGCGGATTCAAATGTGCAGCGATCCCATCTGTCAAAACTATAGGAAATTTGTTATCTAGATAAAAATAATTTTCCCGGAATAGATTAGACACGAACCAACTCAAACATTTAGTATGTGTGTTCGTGGCTAGGATACACATTTTTCGCGAACACGACGGCAGATGTCAGTTTTGTGCTTTGATCAGAAATTTGATGATACTTTGTATGATCATTCATGTCGGTTTGTCGGTGGTATTGATGCATGTTTAACTTTTCGCGGCTGTCGGAATCAACGCTACGGAGCTTACGCAAAAGTGATTCACAATTCGGTAGAGCTTACCAAAAGTTTTTTTTTTTTAGCTTATGTAGTTTAGAATTTGTTCGGTACGGTCACGAATTTTTGAAATAAAATAACTAATAACTAATTTGAAACAAAGCTCAATAGTCAAATAAGTAGAATATCTAGGGAGGAAACCAAAATAATCAGCTTGCCATATATATATATTTTGGTGGCACTCTTTAAGTGATAATAAGCTGTTTTTTTTTCTACGGTTGTCTCACGCGGCGTTCGCAAATTACGCGAATGAAAACAATCACTACTAAAGAATAACACCCATCCCTATCCCCGTCCGTCCCCCTTATTTTCGGTTAATTTTCACACAGTTGAATAATTGTTTAATAAATGTATAATAATATCTTATTAAACGTCACTTCACATGAGAATCAAGCGTAGACAAAGCATCATTGTTTTAATTAAGAGAATGAGAAGCAGTGATGTCTAATAAACGCTGAATAATAAAAAATGTTATCGAATAACCCTTATAAAAAATACCATACCCGAACGATAACCCAAATGATAGAACTATTCCAAAAATGGTTTGGATGATACCCTAAACACGTCGTTAAGCAAATTAACCATACAAATTTTATTAGGGAAGCTCTGTTACAACTCATATAAGCCGAATAAAAACTTCTTCTCGACATACCTTATGCCACCAATAGTTCATTGTGTTGTGGTTCAGTAAATTTTCCAGATTTGTGTGAACAAAGCCTGAACAGAAGTTATTGTTAAAAATAATACAATTATTATTAAGCATGCAGTTGAATAAAATCATCACGAAGTCGTTTCTTCAATAGACGATTGTTTGTTGGGTTTAGCAGTTTCTATCTAAACATGTTATGCATAATTTGGACAACTTACGTTTATAGCTGCCTATTTTCCATTCCAATGCGTAGGCCACACGGCGAATGAGAACGACCTAAATTTGAATTTAGTTCACTCATAATCGCCAAAAGTGCATCAGGAACTCAGAGATGAGTAAATTTGTCTCATGGTTTCCTGTGGAAAACCTAAAAAATGTGCCGGAAAATGAGGAAATTGATGAAAATTTTATTCAGTCTCGGAGTAGTCCCAATAGACTGAGTGAATCCAATCTTTACTTTTCTCAAATTCGGGAATTTTTCCCTGGAAAATCCTGGGAAAACATGAGACAAATTTTACTCATCGCTGAGTTCCTGCACTTTTGGCGATTATAGCTTTGCACATCATAGTTCAATATTCTACAATATTCTACTTTATCGACTTCTACTTTACCGATTCTAAAAATGAATGGACAAATATATATAAACAAAACTTCCAGAGGCGAAAACTCTGATATATCTTATTAAGGTGATTCCTTGTAGAGTCCACAAATGGCCACCACGTAGGCTATAAATGCATTTCCACCTCGAATTTTCAATTACACACATCTCGGAAATTAGAGTTCCATTTCACCTGAAATTGCTACTGCATGTATGCTGCAGCGCAGCAAACGTAGAGTAACAGTTTCATTGTAGTACGTGTCGTGGAAGCTGATATTTGTGCACTTAAAGTTTCGAAGTGGTAGCGAGAATAAGGATCTCACAGCGAACCACCTTAATGGGTCTGATTAAGGATTCGATCATGGACTGTTTGGGTGTGCTGCTGCCGGAGTCTTCGTTCGATCTCACTGTGCCACGGTTGTTCTCATATATGAGGCCGGTTGATAGGATAAAGTCAAAAGTCACAACTCTTGTTTTTGATGTTTACCTTTCTGAGCAAGCAATTCACATCGTATTGAAATGCAAAACACTTTAAATCCATCTGGATTGAGCAGTAGTGTGATTCAATGTGCAATACACTTGAATAGATAGTGAAAGATTTTCAACATTTCAAAGTTGGAAACACTAGAAATTACCGTGTATAACACATTGAACTAAGGTGAAATACACCTAAATTAAATGTGATTGTGAATAGTGTTTAAACACTTTGATCAAACGTGTGGAATTTTTTTGAGTGTTGTTCTGCAGGTTATTACACTATTCAATATGCCCAACAGCCCAACCTGCTTTTCTTCAGCAAGAAATCCCACAACTTTTGATTTGTTCTTAACTTATTCAAGTCAACTTTCAAAACAATCCACCCAAAACTGGCAATACTTACCATTGAGAGACGAGTGTGGGAAATCTTCGTGGACTAACCTTTTTTTCCCTTGGTTTTTTTCCGCCGATCTTGTTTTCCGTGCTGAGCACCAATGCTACCGACGCCAGGGAGGCAGCTCCCACACCTGGACCCTACCTATCGACACATCAAACTCATGAACCGGGGCCAACGGCTTTACTTCCCTTTCGAAGGAAGGCGTGATCAGAGATGTTTTGCCCCAGAACAGCCCGGCGGCGCAAACTGGGATTGAACCCAGGCCTGCTGATAAAGAGAGGAAATCACGCTTACCACTACACCACCGGCGCCGCTAAGTGTGGACTCTATCTCGTCGCTCATAAATAAACTGTGAAAGATGCAGCACCATCTTCTACTCACCAGGCTTCCCGAATTAAATTGGTATATGGTTATTTTGCTTGACGCCGTGTTCCGATATCATCCTAACCATTAGTGGAATAGTTCAACCATGTAGGCTATCATTCGATGGTGGTATTTTTTTTATTAAGGTTTAGCTTTTGTAGATACCTTGTGAACCCAATGAAAAAAAAAAACTTTTCGTAAAAATACATCAATGCTTTTCGTTCAGTGTATCAACATTTGATAAAAATGACAGTTCACATTGTTTGTCAACAAAAATTTCGATAAAATCGCCTGAAATTGTCTGCAGTTTCACTGGTTTACCTAAATAATTATTAATCTAGGGAAAAAAAATGTCAGAATACAGCTCAGCGAAGAGCAGCAAACTTGTCCTGAAGGGTGAAAGCTCCAAGTAAGTTCTATAAATGGAATGATTAATTTCGGCAGCAGCATTCGCTTACATTGATCAATTTCGCATCAGAGGTCACAAACGCAAGCACAAGAAAAACAAGAAGGATAAGGATTCAAAAAAGCTACGCGTCGAAGTGGACGAAGATGCCCTGAAACACGGAGGCTGGTGGAGGGTGTCAAAGGTGGACGAAATCACCGGTTCCATCGCGATTCAGTTCGGAAAGCGGGCGTTCATCAGAGCTTTGGACAATGGAACGTTTACGCTGGGAGCTCCCCACGACGAGGGCGATGGTCCGGATCCCGAGGAAATCTTCACCGCCGTGTTGATAAATGAGGAGAAGGTAGCTTTCAAGTCGGGTTACGGCAAGTACCTGAAGGCGGAGAAGGATGGGATGATCACTGGCAGATCGGATGCAGTGTCAGCGGTGGAACAGTTCGAGCCAGTATTCGAGGGCTCCAAGATGGCACTGTTGGCTGCGAATGGGTGCTTCATTTCGGTCGATCCCGAGGACGATGCCGTAGTGGCGATCAAGAAAAAAGTCGGTGAAAATGAGGTGTGTATGGTGAGAAGCTGTGGTGTCCGAGAGGAGAAGACCAACAACGATGTAGCTGTCGAAGAGGAGGGTGATCTGGATCAAGTGGAAATTAACTATGTGTAAGCATTTGTATGATGCAAGGCTTTCTTTCGATTAATGTGGAGTTTTCTTTCATTGACAGCAAAAAATTCCAAAAGTTCCAGGATAAAAAGCTACGGGTCAACACCGAGGACAAGGCAGCGCTGAAGCGAGCCCAAGAGGAAGGCATACTCCACGAAGCCCTGCTTGATCGTCGCAGTAAAATGAAGGCGGACAGATATTGCAAATAAACCATACAAATCTTATTAAATGATTAGATTATTTACGAAAATAATCATAGCGTAGATTATTCGACTTTATTTAACCCAATCTTTGACTCTCTGGTATCCATGTTTTTTTTTTGTTTTCCTCAATGATTTGTTTGTTCCATCTCACATTTTGTCTTGCCCAGTTTGAGGATTGTTTTCTAAAATACAGTGGCTTAAAAACGCATTCCTTCTCACTTTGAATCTTACGCATTTGTTTATTTTTCAGCTTTCAGCCTGTTCGGTTCCCGTTTATTTGTTTGTTTGTTTGCTTGCAAGTTCCCTTCTACCAATTTGCTTTTTTGTTGGTTTCTATTTTATTTCTGTTGATTACTTTCCAGAGTAACATGTATTTTTTTTTATTTTAGCCGTAATGGGGGTCCTAAATGATTATTATTTATGTATGTTGATTTTATCTTGGTTTTCTTTTCTTCGGGTGTGTGTGTGTGTAATGTTTCTGATAGATATTTTTTTATTTTGTTTGTTTTAAGTTTTCCGAAATATCGTCGAACCTTGGGTAATGTTTTAAGGTAGTTAGTACGTGATTTACTTCCATCGTTTTTGTGTACCTGTTGAACCTACTGAGTAGCTGCACGTCTTCTTCTTTAGTAAATTTTCAGCCGACTTCTACGCTCTACACTATTTTTTTTACCATTCTTGTTTGTGTGTGTGTGGTGTTTTATTTGGTTTACTTAATGATAGTTTTAGCCCTTAAAATAGGCGAAAACGAAAGCCATGATGACCGAATAAAATGAAAAGATTGAAAATACATTAAAAAAGGGAACTAGCATTTCACAGTTCATTTATAATTATTTACTTTGGAGAGGAAAGAAACGGAAATAAAATTAAACTTAACTACGAGAATTAGCATGTGTGTTGGCTTATCTTCATTCCCAGCCAGTGTCCGTGCTTCATCAACGACCTGTGTTGGAAGTTGATTGAGAAGTTGATTTCTCTCGAAAATGAGAATAGAATGCTCCTATCGATAATGAGTGTGTTTACGGGATGTGCGGACGACCGCGACTGGCCGATGGATTGGAGATGTCTCGAACTTGGTACTATTGTTTCACTGACTGATGCAGGTGAGAAGAAGCTGTACTGCGTGTCTGTGCATTATTTGTTATTGTTGTTGGATTGTGTATGTTGTGTTATGCTGTTGTGGATGTCCATCAATCTGTGACTTCCACTTAGTAGTACATTCCTCAGCTAATCGTCGATTGTGACCGTAGCAGTCTTAACCATTCGACGAACTCGTCCAACATCACGGGCCCTGGAAGTGTTTGTAAGGCATAAGATAGGTATATAGGTATAGATTATCGCAAAAAGCTGCATGGTAGTAGTTCACAGTTAATATGTACAATGGTTACAGTGGCGTCAGTACTAAACCGAAGGGTTCTAGTTTTCTAGTTCTAGTTTCCAGCGTTTTTCGTAAATAATTCTGACCTTTTATAAATATTTGAATATGTGTTCAAATGCCTGCCAATTTTAATTTGTAAACGTGATCAATTAGAGAAAGTGTGCCAGTTTCTGGCCCTACGGCCCAACTCAAAACTAAAATAAAATTTAATTTTTTTTTTTGCGTAGATAGGGGAAATGGCTCTAATGTTGGCCTATGGATCTAAGATTGGGCCCATCACTAAAAATCTGCTATTTATCAATTTTACCTAGATGAACGCGTCATTGGGACGGTACTAATGGATATATTGCAGGGTGGCCAGTTACTTTTCATTTTTAAATTCCCGGTTTTTTCCCGGTTTTCCCGGTTTAAAACTTAAAAATTTCCCGGTTTTTGATATTCAACAAAAAACGAAATTGTACGCATTTTATAAAACGTGGCCAGCTGTAAATTTTCAGTGAATGTTTGTGGGAAAAATAAAACAATTTATTGATCTTTCGAGATAATTCATAAATCGATATCTACCACTTTTTATGCTCGATACATCTTGTGATTTCAAAGCTCTAAAATTTATTGAGTTACAGAGATTAAGATCACTAGGCCAAATGCTATCTGAATGAATAGATTATAAGACAGAATTGTGAATAATAAGAGATTTAATTAAAAAATGAACTTGATACAAATGAGAATTAGAGCAAATTGATAGTGAGATCGGATAATGAAAATGTGTATTCACTCCATTGTCTATACTAACATAAGATTTAGAGATGAACTAGCCAACGGCTAAAATTCTCTCTAATGAAAAAAAACATAACCATTAGCCTTTCAGTACTCGCGCTGATGTACAAAGTTAAACACGAAAAAATGTGAAACCTAAAGACGCTTGAACTCGCTCAACGTGAAACTAAACATGGTTCATGAAATTTAATACCCTCGATTAATAGACCAATATACTTGAAAAAAAAATTGCTGAAAGATTATTTATTAAAAGATAGATTCCCAAGATTCTGGGGCTTTGACATTTGTGTAGAGTCTGAAAATAAAACCTTTCTTCAAAATTTGGGATTAATATCAATTTTCGTGATGCAAGATTTGGAGAAAAAATAGTTAAAAGGTGAGAGTTTAAAAATTTCCCAAGATCACAGATTTAAAAAAAATCATATTTATTAAATAGTCGGGCAGTCTTAACTGTCAAGACTCTGAGACTTGGAAGCATTTTAAGGGTTAAAACAAATTACAGAACAATCGATAAAATCTTGCGGACAAACCCTGGAATTTTCAGTTAAATTTAAAAGTATTCAAAGTATTGATTTCAAAAAACTATTGAGAAGGATTCCCACATAGTTTTCACAAAGTTCTGAGCAGAATTCCAGAATTATTATGACAGGAAGTCCTTAGGTTTCTAAATAATTCCAAATTCTGAAAGATTTATGCTGTTTTTGAATAGAGTTAAAAGATTTTTTTTAAAGGATTTCAATGAAATCAAAGTCTCCGAATAGGTTCAAGGGAATTCCAAGACGGATTCCAAGCAATTTCTTAGAAGGGGTTCAACGAAATTCCAAAATGAATTCTGCTCTGAATTATTACGCAGAGTGTTTTATGGTGTAGAAGAATTCTTTAATAATTCAGAGCAGAATTCCAAGCTCATTCTGAAATTCATATCATGAGAATTTTGGATAAAATTAAAACCCGGGAAAATAATAGTTCAGTTTCAGTTTGTACAAATATTCGCTTAAGTCCAGCATCTTCACCATGCACTTTACATCTGAAATTGAATCGCAAAAATCAATTTGAAATATTGCTGAGTGATTAAATGCTAAAAAACAATACGACGGGAATCTGAAGAAAATTATGCAGCATATAGAGAAGGACATTCATTTGGTAAAAATCACTCTGTTTTAATGGTTTATTCTGAAATTCTGGTGTGAAAATTTATTCATATGGTGTGGTTAATTTATTTTTCCCGGTTCTCTCATCGAATTCCCGGGTTTTTCCCGATTTTCCCGGTTACTTTTCAAATTCCCGGATATTTCCCGGTATTCCCGGTTTTCCCGGTTTGCTGGCCACCCTGATATTGTGATCCATTTAAATTGAAGTTGTGACCAATTTATTTTGCAAATGTCATCAATATTTGTTCACAGAAATAACATTGGTCTAAATTTAATAATTAAACGTTTTTCATTTGATATTTTTTTTTCAATTAAACTCATTAACAGTTGAGGCCAATTTGTTGACAGGGAGACAGAAAAACTGCCAGACTAAGTTGGAATAATCTAAAGGAGAGATTTTATGCCTCAGAAAATCCCGACGGCGCGACTGGGATTGAACCCAGGCCTTTTGGGGTGAGAGGCAATCACGCTTACCACTACACCACCGGCACCGCTTAATTCGTGCATATACGGGGTTCATTTTAATTTTTAATTTCTAGTTACCCTATCAGCATCAGAAAAGTATATGGTCATCGAGAACGATTCATGGAACAATCAAGAGCAAATTTTCATTACGTCGAATGTAACAAAGGTAAACAAAAACGAGCTATCAGTGTCAATCGATGCTCCTGCTATTACACTATACATACTGTCCGAATATAGGATCACATCCCATTTTTAAATTTATTTACCAGTCGAATTGCTTTTTGACGTAATCACCTTCCGATCAAAATAGTTTTCGATGTTACTTAAGTCACCCGATTTCTATGGAGATGCCGTTTGCCTTAAGTAACAACACTGAGAAACCCGTGAAAAGTGTACTTTCGTCGTTTCGCTTTCTCATTATTAAAGTGAATAAATCGAACTGTTGGTTGCTAAGATGATTTTGGTGGTCCTAAAATGATGAGGGCTGCACGTAAGGAGACAATTGATAATTCTCCCGAATATCCTGGTAAATACACTTTGACTTAAGTAACAGTAGGGGCCATCAAACGACGTATAATATCTTTTGACTCAAAAACCAGTATTTCTTAGCATGAAAGCTAGCGATTTGCCTTTGTATGATTAAAAGCCGGCTAAATATGTTAAACATTGCTATCACTATGAGATTATATGTGTTTAATTGGAAATAGGAATAACTTTTCGGTCATCAAAACAAAACTTTATTTTTCTCGGATCGGTGCGAATGTTACTTACGACATAATGAAAATTTGCTCTTGCAATGTTGAGCAGGTACTCCCGAATCCTTCGAGGCTAAACGATGCGTCTTCGTTATCCCCGAATGGTTCATCTGCTCATCCGGAACACACCGTAGATGTTTCCACGATTTCCTAGAAAAATGCTGCTATCTCTACTGCTTCTGGACCACCACCGAGACGCATCGTGGATAGCACTGTGGAAGCCCCTGATTTCTCGGCCTCAGTCGCGCTTATTCCAGCCAGCGCTCTGCATAGTCGTCTCGGCTCTGAGTGTAGATGTACTTCCAACCAGCTATTACTGCAGTGGCGTCGCGTAACCTCACTTTTGACCTGTGCACCAGCTTTCAAAAACAGATTTAATGCCATATTCATACTCGAATTGGTTGAAAAACACACTTAATCTTCTAGTTAACTCGATATCTATCCATTGTAAGCAATATTTTGATAATTGTTTATGTTTTGAGAGTTGGTGCAAGGGTAGATTGAGGTTAAGGCGACGCCACTGTATTACTGGCAAGTATATTGACGATTCAGCCTCTCCTTTGCCTGATATCGCTTCAACTTCTAGCTGTATTTCCGGTTCTGCGACCTCCACACTAGCCACGTCATGTCCATGCATCCGTCCTGCCAACTGCCAGCAGGTTTATCCCGTCTTCTGCTCTTCCTCGGATCCGGTACACCCTAAAACAGGCACTGAGGAAGCTTCCGAACCTCCCGACCCAGTCGCGCTAGCTGCAGACATCCGCCATCGTCATCGTTCCGGTCCTGTGGTCGGTGATGGTATCGGGGGCTTCCGGCCTGCAATCTCAGGCGAGTATGTTAGCGATTCCGAGCTTTCGATACATGATGTCCTTTTGATTTCTAGTTCCCGTGATTGCTTTTCGAATGGTCTCCGGATCTACTACCAAAACGTGCGTGGGCTGAGGACTAAAATCGACTCGTTTTTCCTGGCTGTTGCGGAAGCCGAATATGATTTGATTGTGCTGACGAAAACGTGGCTGGACGACCGAATTTATTACCGAATTCATCGCAACTTTTCGGGTCACTCTATCTACGAGACCAGCCAGCTACGTAAGTACGTCACCCATTTCCAGTCAACTGGAACAGCTGTGGATTGTCGTAGAACTTCCACAAAGCAAGCTTAGTGTAGGCGCAATCTACCTAAAACGACTGCACGGTCACCCGTGAGCATGTGGAATCGTTAGGCTCAATTTCGTCACAATTAAGTCCCTGCTCTCCCGCTTTCGTATTTGGTGACTACCATCAAGCTGGTCTGCAGTGGCGCTTTACAGACAGTGGCACACCATTAAAGATCCACTGCTTTCGCATATGCCGGTTCCTTGCTGTGCTCTTTTGGACGGTTTTAACTTTTACGAGTTCAACACAAGTGAATACTTTTCCGATCTTGTCCTGGCAAATGATTCCGCACTACCGGGCACTTCTGTTTCCTTGCCGGTCGAGCCACTGATTGATCTAGATGCCGATCATCCCGCTCTCGTCGTGTCATTTAGTTTACCTACGCCGATTCTTTTTACGCCGTCATCTGAGTGCTACTCTTTGGACTTTCGCCGGGCTGATTATGTTGCATTCAACAATGCGCTTGCGGAAATTGATTGGCAATTTATCGAAACAGTCGCTAGCGTGAGTGATGCTGAGGATTTTTTCAGTGCTGCACTGGAAGATGCTATTTTCCGCATTGTCCCAGCACGACGACCCCCGCAAAAGCCTCCATGGTCTAACCCAGGCCTACGCGTGCTAAAACGTCAACGCTCTGCTGCCCACTGTTCAATTTTGCGAGTCGTAGTTATCGAAATTACAATCGTTTTCTCTTTAATCGACACGTGAGACGCACGGAAGCGAACCTTCGCACGAATCCGAAAAGTTTTTGGTCGTTTGTCAACTCCAAACGGAAGGAATCCGGGTTGCCTTGTTCCATGTTTCTCGGGAATGACTCGGCTAATAGCGAAAGAGAAAAATGCGACTTGTTTGCTCGTCATTTCAAGCAAATGTTCCACGATTTCTCCGCTTCGCCAACACAAGTGCTGGACGCCACTGTTGGGATCCTTAAATCTGTAGCAAACACTATGTAATTTATTTATTTTCTCTCTCCAGGACCCCCTTCCTTTCAAAGAGACGAACCAGCTAAAGGTTTGAAAGTCTCTATAATAAACCAAAAAAAAATACAAATGGGATTGGGAAGAAGACGACAACTGTGACCTATGCGACGAAAAAGAAGATCTAGAACACCTGCTCTACCATTGCACAAAATACAATATCGAGAGATCTGACTGCACTGAACATCATTCTGAAGGAAAACAATGAGTTCGAACTAAAAGAAGTAGTATAATTCATCAAACAAACAAAAATACGATTATGAATCACAAGCGACAACACACAACAAACCGAAGCAACCATAGAATCTACAAACAAGACAACCAGAGTGGCGAGATGGACCGTGAACGGTCTCAGCCGTCCAACATCCAGGACACAGCAAAGACAAAAAAAAGGCAGGGAATCTCAGAAATACCTTACGTTAGCATGAAGAATACAGAACATGTAAATGTTCGATGATCTTACTAAGGAGGACCTGAGATAGAAAAATCCCCAACAAAAATTAAAACTTTTAAACTGCTTAATCACTTACATTTCGGCTTCCATCGGTTAATTGAAATTTAAGCCATTCGAGTTTTCGGCTCGTTTATGTTTCATAAGCGATGATGATTACAAAGTGCCCCACTTTCCCCTAAGTAGCGTTAAAATACAGACAAAACAAACAAAAAATGTAAACGCATCTACTTACAAGCTCCATCGACGTCGTAATTGGTTAAATCGTTGGAGATAGTACGGGAAAACTCGAGGATATTACACCACTGATCTTTGTTGATCACTTTGTACTTGGACTGCTCAAGAAACTGGGCAAATTGTGCATATAGAGGCCAGTGCTTGCCAAGCAGCAATTGCAGCATCGCCTTCGCCGTCTCAATATCCATACTGCGCTGATCTTTGTCCTATCAATAGAATTGAGTATAATTTAAAAACAGTTGGCTTAAAATGTAACCTGCAAGACTTACCCTAGCAAAATCATACGCATATCTGTAGATTATTTTGAACGCATTTGAATCGTTCAACAGATTACGCAGGTAGTCAAGTTTGCACTGGACCTTGCCAGACGTATCACACTGTAGATCCGTCAGCCCTTTCAGCCATTCGCTCTGTGTGAAGAAGCCCATCTGACGGGCACCCATTTTGTACGCTAGCACCAGCATCGCAACGTTCTCCGGTTCAACGCCAATATCTTCGCAGAATTTTTCCATACCCTCCGGACCTATGGTGAATCGTAACAATATCAACTTTTAGCATCATCAACAACCTTAAAAAAAAACTAGAAGCTTACCTAACGTATCCGGATCGTCGGGCGTTGTGTACTCGCGGAACCAGGTCAGGCATCGCTTTTGACTGAATGCATCGTCCACTTTATTGTACCGTCGGGAGCTGTAAAAGGACAAACAAAAGTAACGATATTACTCAACTTTCTTCATGACTTTCGGTTCCGCAGCGAAAAATTCAAGTTTACATTTCTTCACCCATCTTTCACTCTCTCGCCGTCGTTGTGGTTGGTTCGTTCAAATTACGTCTTATCTTAAGCAATGAAACTAATCTGTCAATATCTTAAAAATGTAGCAGGACACAAAGACGGACGGCTTATCACAACTAGCGTGATGCTGTCGCCGAATCTCTTTTGGAATTGAATCCTCAACTGCTGAACTGCCAATTAACGCTCGTATATACAAATTGAGCACACATGAAATAAAGGTGCCGCGCGAGAATTTTCGAACTGACGGTGAGCGAGGAAGGAAGCTATCGTGGTGGCCCGCAGACGCAGAGCACTCTTTTTTCTTCTGCTGGCTAAAAATATCAGCGATTCTCTTTTCTTTCTGTCGTCATAACATGTTTTCTTTCGATTACATACCTACCGCGTGCCACTTGGTCGCCAGTAGAATATGATTTAAATGAGGAAGAGCGGGGGTTTGCAGGGACGCGCTGTTTGGGTGCAATTGGAGTAATAGATGCGCGCGCGACACAACATACCTACTTTAGGCTGGCATCCCATACTAGACGCTGCACATTGGGTTAGTAACTTTGGTTACCGTTACTTGCTGCTACCCGAAATCTTCTACATCGAACTGCGAAATAGGATTATTGGGATATAAATAGAGCTAAGATTTTCCCACTGTGCGCTTTGTTACTTGGGATCATATGTAGTGAAGGAAAGCAAACGTGATAACAATGGAGCTTGTTTTGCAAAGCTTTGCGAGAAATAACATAAGCTCGACAGGATTCATTGTGTGTCTGTATAAAAATATAAATAGTTTTGAGCATGACTTAGTTGTGTACCACTACACTCAATTCTGTGTTTACGCGATTTTTTTTTTCGTCCGTATTTTTGATCGTGTGATCTCAAATTGCTAAATAATTAGGGCAAAATCGAGAAATGAATATCGCGTAAAAACAGAATTGGGCTCGTCTCTTATACAACTATCCCCCGAAGAACGCGTTACCCACTGAGTTGCACTCACCGCTTGTTCTCGGCGGGATTTCAACCACTCGGTCTGATTTTTTGCATGTGAGTAGGGCCAATGGAGAACTAGCGTTTAGCGTTGTTATGATATACTTCGTAGATTGGATACTAGCGACACTCACGGCTCTTCTGAAATTCTCAGTTAGACTACTTTCAGGGATAATGCTGGGGAGTAAACATTGGTTCCAATCTAAACAAGAGTAACAGAAGCATGACTGTCGCTATTCCCGGCCACGCCCATCTTTACCATAACTAGGGATAGGGAAGAAAATGTTGATGTAGTTCTTACTTAACGAGAGGCCACCGACTTAGCGACACCCTTATAAGTGCTACGGAGTTGGAGGGTTGGGTAGGGTATTCGGTTAGGATTCACCTCAAGTTGGCGATGCAACCAAAAGTATGTATTGTTTATTTGTTGTTTATTTAATATCTCGATAGAGGCCAAACAACTCCTTTCAGCCACCGGCAATCTGGAGCTCCCCCCGGTGTCTAGCATACATTGGTGTGGAACCAGAGATTGGAACCTGCCCGGGCCCATTATCGACTTGGCGATAAAGAAGAAGTTCAAGGCAGGATCCAACTCTACGGCACTTGTGAGATCCGTCGCGGAACTCCAGAGAACCAGATACTGCAACCACACTATCCGTTATTCCGATGGATCGGTTTCCCGTGAAGAGGTTGGCATCGGCATCACGGGCCCCTAAATGTCCGTGCTTTATCGACTTCCAGACCAGTACACTATATTCTCGGCAGAAGCGGTCTCTGCTTTTATTGCTGCTACCACTCCCTCAAACAAGCCGATTGCCGTATTTACGAACTCCGCAAGTGTAGTTTTAGCCCTCAACTCAGACTCTATTAAGCACTCATGGATCCAAGCCATTCAGCGATATGCCCCCAGAAACACTACATTTGTATGGATTCCGGGCCACTGCGGCATTCGTGGTAATACGGAGGCGGATCATCTAGCGGCTTCTGGAAGACGAGCCCAACTGTTCACCAAGGAGGTTCCATCAGGGGACCTGAAAAAATGGGTTGCCAACAAAATCTGGGATTTATGGTCAAATACATGGTCCCAATCAACTAGCATTTTCCTTAGAAAAGTGAAGGCTGACACACGAAGATGGCAAGACCCCCCTGACCACCGAATTCAGGTTGTCCTGGCAAGACTCAGAACAGGCCATACCAGAGTCTCGCATAACTTTTCTGGGAGCGGCCCGTTCCGGAAATTTTGTGAGCTCTGCCGCACCAACTGTTCAGTGGAACACATAATCTGCCACTGTACTCAATACGAAGGCTCACGAGTGCTGTACGGCATATCGGGCAGCATTAAGGACGCACTGAGTAACGACCCGACTAGAATCACAGCATTAAGGGGCTTCCTCCGCGAGGCCGGCCTCTTCGACCAAATATGATACCTGCCAAAATCCCAACCACCGCAATACAAATGGACTTTTTCTTATCACCCAACATCTCAAACCAAAGCAAGATCCTCAGCAACTTAACAACCAAAACTCCGAAGAAAGACAGCACATTGACAGCCTCAGTATTTAACTAGAGGAGGCCTCTACAGACCTCCTAACATGATAAAAAAGGAAAAAAAAAACTTTGTAACTAGATGAGGTCCCTTCCGGACCCCACACTATCTTTTCAGAGACGAACCAGCCAACGACTGAAAGTCTGTAAAATAAAGAAATCAATCAAATCAATATCTCGATAGCCGGCTATCGAAAGAACATATTCATTTTATTTAGTGATCATGAATTTTAAGAGTCATGACGGAGAGCTTGGGATTAAACCCATGATTTTCTGCTCAGTAAGCAAAAACGATCCCTCCAGGGTCATCGAGCATCTCAGAACCATAACGCTTCGCGACAATACAGGACTACGTTTTCGCTTGATATGCAAATAGTTTCCCGGGTTAATGTTCAATATCAAATATACAAATGATGGTGGCGATTTATTGTGCTGTAGAAGAGCTTGGGGTTAAATCCATGATTTTCTGCTCAGTAAGCAAAATCGATCCCTCAAAATCGATCGAGCATCTCATAATCCACAGCGCTTCGCGTCAAAGTAACACTTCTATGAAATGTCTTACATATATCTAACGCTAAAATAATTTAATCTTCCCCCGCATTCCAATATTTTTTCATGACCCGCCTAACTACAAATATGTTGTCATCTGTTGAATTACTTCTAGTAAATGTAACTTGATGAAATCCTGGTTCTTCTGTGAGTCTTCGAAGCTGATTACCTATCCATTTAGCGTAAATTGTGTATGCTACGTTACAAAGCGAAATTCTACGAAAATGTTCTGCTTCCTTACTTTTTTGGGATGGGTATCTGCGTTGACTTATTCCAATCTGATGGTATTTTATTTTCCACTCAAACCATTTCAATAATTCTAACCAACTCATCTATCGTTTCCTGAACTGCATTTTTAAAATATTCTACAAAAACTATATCTGAACCTAGAGACTTCCCATAGCAATATCAGGGTGTCGACTCAATGAAGAAAACAAAATTCCCTGATTTTCCCTGATTTTCCAGTAATTTTCAAAAGAAAATCCAGGTACAGTGTCTACATGGTTTTGTCAACACGACCTCATCAGCTATTACTTTCCTTAGATACCTATGTACTACCCAACAAACAATTCTAGCTGCAGAACAGCCTATACAGGCACAAATTAGCTGCATAAGGAATTTTTTGACTGTATGAGCTAATCTGCAGCCAAAATTGTTAGTTGGGTAGTGCTTTGTGGACATTTTTTCATGAAATACCACATGGACCTCTAACCCATGAAGAGTGGTCCAGTACAATCTCAAATTGAATAAAGCGTTCGATACATTTTATAGGATGCAAAAAAGACAGATATCGCGTGTTGCCAAAAACGGGAAGGCACCGCATTTTTCTAAATTCACAAATTGTAATCGTGGTAAGCGACAGGGAATCAGTTCAATTCATGATTACTAGTGATGTGTGAAGGAAACTGCAACCATCTCAATATCAATCTACAAACAAGGTTTTCGCTTAAAGCAAATTTGCTCGACTTACTTCATGATATGAAAAGAGGCCTTTGGCATGGCGATTTTCTCACCCTTAGAAGCAGTGTTGAAAATATTCACCAAAATTCTTCGTGAAATATCGTGAACTTTTTCAATCAACGCTAGCATAGCATAGCATAAGCGATTGCACAAATCGTGGGGGGCTATATAATGGTCAACCAATATATTTTGCAGGAAGTATCGTGTTGCCGTGAAAAAAAAAACACTTGGGGATAGTGGTTTTTCCCATACATCAAAATCTGCAAATCAAGCATCGCATTATACACCTGGCCACATCCTTACAATCGCAGAGGATAGGAAGGAAAATTAGTCCAACATCTACTTAAGAAGGTGCAGGGAACCCATACTACCTTCATAGATGCCAATGGGAGGGAACATTTGTGTTAGTAGGAAATGGAATATATTTAGGAATCTCTATTCTAGCACACGTGAAGAAAATAAAACAAGTACGCAGATAGCGACATCTCTTCTTATGCTTGCAAACACGATGAATCGCGTTTTTTCTCGATTCGTAAACTTCCCAGAAAGCGAGAAACCACCACAATCACACAGGTATAATCGTCCGGGAGGCAGAGTGCCAGCGCTTATCAGTCAATTGCAGCCGAAAACGATCAAAGCGAACGCACGCACAAAACAGAGAGCAAACTTAAAACAGAACCGTATCCGACGGGTTTCGAAGCTCGAATCCGTGAACTTTTTCAATTAACGCTAGAGGCAAAAATTTACACAGTTCTCCTACATCTTGCATATGAAACACTTGTCTTTAATCCCTTTATATTTTTTTCCCTTGAGCACAATTATTTGAGACCCAGCTCTAAAAGAAAACTATTCCGGCTAATACGCTTAACAAAACGCTAATTCACGGCCACATTCCTAGGGTGGGAAATCGTAAAAACAACGCTTTCACCTCTAAAATTCAGTTAATTTCATCGCAATTGCAATACTAAAACTTCACTGAGAAGATAATTTTCTAAGGTAATCAGATTTACAATAAGACCTAGAATACTGAATAACGCCACTCTATGCTGTCGAGGCAATGTTAGTCTACGTTTTTTGAATCATTATTCAATCATTAAAATGCTATTCCAAGGCCATTATCGTAAATACTCATTTAGTTTATTCTCTGAGCTAGTCAGGCTGTTGAGAACACAATAAGGAACAAGAACAAGAAGTGATCAGAAAAAAAAATCATCTTCTTCTCTTAACTCTTTACCAGTCTTGAATTTGTTAAAAAGCGCTCCAATGCGCCCAAAGGATCTACGTCAGATGCCATTGGGCGTAACATCTTTAAAGAGACGCACATACCAATTTTGAAGTTATATTTTGCAACAAATAACAACGTCTAGTGTCTACGGAAATAGATTTTTTTATCAAACCTCAAGATCTCAGTTTAACCCAGGATTGTGTCAACACCCAGTAGGAGTTGAATTTATAGTAGGCGCAAAATCATTAAAATACCCTTTTATTTTAGTAATTCTTGCTCAACTTGCAAAAATGCCACATCAAGCATTGAGCAACCACAAATTCGCAACTTTATTTAAAATTTTAAACCATCCTCAAACTACACCGAGTAATTAAGTTGTTTGAAACTAGCAAAGTTTGTCATTCTTCTGTGGTTAAGAAATATTTCCCTGCATTTCAATTAAATTCCCTGAGATTCCCTGATTTTCCAGGTCCAAAAATATATTTTTGAAAATTTTCGTTTTAAGCCTCATTGAAGCTCATAATATTTGCTACAAACTGGCAAAGTTTGGTGATGGTAAACTCTAGCTCAATATTCATCAAATGAATTTTTTAGTTTTGTTAGTAACGATACCTTTTCATGGTATCAGATGTAATGAATCCTAACTTTTCAATAGGGCCTGTGTAGAAAAACACTAATGAAATAAACATATCTATATTGCAAAAACGGCTTGCTTGATTGCATTGGTGTCTTCGAGAAAGTTGTGCAAAATTAAAATGCAATTCTTGAAAAAATATACACGGTTGAAAAACATGTATTTTTAATGTAAATGTAAAAATCGTGAAATTTTCAAAAAATCATAACTTTTTTGTTTTTGAGTTTACCATCACCAAACTTTGCCAGTTTGTAGCAAATATTATGAGCTTCAATGAGGCTTAAAACGAAAATGCACTTTTTGAGAAATTAATTTTTTTAATAAGAAATATATTTTTTTTCATTGAAACAAACGAATTTTTTTACAGTGTATATTTTTAACATGATTGCCAAAATAATATCTACAACTTTGCTCAAGACACCAAATTAATCGAACAAAGCGTTTCAGCAATATAAATTTTTTAACTCATTAGTACTATTTTTACACAGGCCCTGTTAGAAAAGTAGTCGTAATTCAATATGAAAAACTGAGAGCACAAAATGGCGGCTTTAATAAAAAGGAACAACTCAGTACTAACATTTGAAAACGGCGCAAAAGCCATTTGTAAACAAATGGTTTGTGGGCCCTTTAATCGCTACTCGAAGTACACCCACGCAACACAACAGCTACATCGGGTAGGGGAAATCTTCCCCTTCCTGACGATGCTGTTGGTTTGAGTGGGTGTACTTCGAGTAGCGAGTAAAGGGCCCACAAACCATTTGTTTACAAATGGCTTTTGCGCCGTTTTCAAATGTTAGTACTGAACTGTGCAAAGTTTCAGCGTAATTGGAAATGATCGGTCAGGATCGATTTGCGAACCTTCGTGGAATGCCTCTACTGCGGTCGATTTTTGATTTTTGAAATTGCACCCTCAATATTTTTTTATTTTTCCTTTGGTTTGTTTTTCCGTCGATCTTGTTTTCCGTGCTGAGCACCAATGCTACCGACGTGCCAGGAAGGCAGCTCCCACACCTGGACCCTACCTATCGACCCATCAACTCATGAACCGGTGACCAACGGCTTTGCTTCCCATCCGAAGGAAGGCGTGATCAGAGATGTTATGCCTCAGAACACCGGCGCCGACTGGGATTGAACCCAGGCCTGCTGGGGTGAGAGGTAATCACGCTTACCACTACACCACCGGCGCCGTTACCCCCCCCCCCCCCTCTATATGTTTTCATTTTTCCTCTGTTCGCGACCTAACACCACTGCGACCAGTAAATTGATCTATTGTATTATATCCCGTGTCCTTAGTTTAGTGCATGTCGTATTACTCCATCACTATTGAGAAATGATGAAGTATTCGATTTTTTTACAGTTGCCACTCTTGCATTTATCGCAAGGATCCGACTCTTATTGAAAGGTCCCGCCATTTACACCCTCCAAAGGCGCGCCCCTTTGTCAGTCAAAATTGGATTCCTTAGCAACAAAATTAAGGTATGACACCGATAATGACCATGCATCAGAACCCTAGTCTTAACCACTTCAAACTAGGGAACAACGATTAGAAGATTAGGAATCACATAGATGAAGACAACTAACTCATTTTTTTCCTTGTTTCAAGATCATCCTCGGTAGACAAAGCCGAGTCTTGTCATTATCAACAAGGCATAAAAAGTAACAAGGACTAAGATGTGTTCCTTGGATTACTTAAAAATCCTGTTCCCTTAGTTTGAAGTAGTCAGGACTAGGAATCGGTGGTAGATCTTACATCCCGTAACGTACCACGAAAAGGTGATCTACCCACGTTACGGGGACCCTCAATATGTTGCCTAAAGACGTAACCCTACGTCAAAAATACCATAAACGAACGATAATCCATATGATAGAACTATTTCAAAAATGGTTTGGAGGATACCCCGAACACGTCGTTAAACAAAATAACCATACAAATTTTATTAGGGAAGCGTTCAATAGAAGCTTCTAAAAGATGAAATGTTCGCTGAAAAAAATGAAATGAGCCAATAAAAAATTTGGAATTTTATAATAAAACGATGAGCTGTCCCTTACAAATCTCCGAAGTTTATGACACTCTGGAAGCGAAATTGACAGATTCTATGTGTCATTCACAAACTTTACCTCCTCTATTTGCATCTTACATATCAGGGTAGCCAGTGAATTTTCATTTTAAAATTCCCGGTTTTTTAAATTTAGTAAAAATAATGATTGTAATATCACGTTATTTTCGTGGTAGGGGAATTTACGTATTCTCGGCAACCTAAGCAGCGACCTTCTTTCTATAGCCTTTTTCTCGAAGGAACGCAGTATTGGTTTGTTTACAATCTTTTGCTGCCAGCTGCTCTAACAAGTTCAGTCGAAAGAATTGTCAAAACCTGTTTTGAAACGGTTTTACAAAGCAATCTTCTCTAGTGAGAGCGAGTATTGTCGGCAACCAGTTTTTCTTCGGCAACCGTTCCATTTGAACTGCATGTAAATCTGCTGTTCTATTATCGGCAACTCGAAATCAGCTACAATTTGTAGTGCGTGTGTTGCATTTCAAGAAAACCTTGCTAGATTGCTTTTTCTAAGCGGTAAAAATATAGTCAAATTGAAGCTGAAAGCATAAAGAATCGTTTGCATGCATTCAGCGAAGCGTTTTCGTAAGAAAATCCAGTGAAAATAGTGTTTCAATTTGTGTTGCCGAAAATAGTCTGTCATGCCGAAGCCGTCATTTCCCCTACTTAGAATCAATTTGAAAAACTATTTTTTTTTAACTCGAGGCCTCTTAAGATTGTAAAGCGTTAGAATATACAAAGTAGCCATGGTTTTTTTTTAAGATCGCATAGCCGAACGTTATCGGGCGAAATGGGTCAATATATCGAATTTAAGTTTTGTTTATAGGCTCTTTTCAATTGTTGGTCGAGAATTCTCCATTTTTATGTTTTGATCGAACCAGGTGTATTACTTAGGCATCTCCCTCCTTCTAGGTAAGATTTAATCGATCCGATCATGTAATACCCTTAAACCGCGGAATCAGGATTCAGTCCAATTCAGTTTCAATTTACAATTTAAAATCACAATTCACGCAAAAATAACACGCGCATTCGCAATGGGTTCTTGCTCATCGCCAATGTGTTATTTTTTTATATAGGAATGCTAGTACTCAGTTGTCAAGCGTGTCTTAAGGTGAATCCTTGAAGTACTTTTTTCATTACAATTCGCATCTGCACAAGTCACAATATTGAGCTTTTTATGAATGTACGTAGCTGAAATTAAAACCGGTTGCTTGTTGCGGAGAAACATCTATAAACATCGTGAATCCTGAGATTGGTGCTCTTGAAATTGCGATATTTTGATAAGAAAAAGGACTCCTATAGGAAACACCTTAATGAACCATATTGATATTGCCCACACATTCGCAGTTCTGTCCAATATTGTAGAGAAAATGCACTGGATTTTCCTTCTTCGTAGTTTTCTGAACCGGCTCTTCATGTCCACTAGATATGTTCTCTAGGCCTTATCTAATGCAACGGAGGCTGCACCGAGGTCTGCAAAACCATGCTCATACTCCCTCATGTCTATCCCGTGTAAGTATGTAATCAAAACGATGCTACCACAATTGGAATATGTATTTCAAAACGGCACTACACCTGGAATATGGAAAATAATTCCCATAATTACATTACCAGGAAAATGAATATTCTGCGAAAAAAATAGTTTCAACATCTTCCAAAAATAGTGTAGACTCACCTTTGACTGGTTTGGTAGGCATTCCTTTGCCTCTTGGACGAGTGTCGGTCATCTTCGCTAGGCCCCATCTCCGGTGCGGACCGGCGTTTACCTCTGGGCATTTGTGATCTGTCTATTGTGAAGGCTGTTTCTGATTCTGATCTCCCAACGAATAGTGTCAGTCACTCTTGCTTTTTCCACTCACTTCTCTTAACTTTTGATTAGTTCTCCTATCTCCGCCCGCTGAAGCTTTCCGGATTGTGTTATGTTTCAGTCTTATCGATTTCCACTTCTAACTATCTCCGTTCGTCGAGCAATGGTTTGACTATCCTCTCCTGCTTATCACTACTTAACTCGTTCTCGATTTTCCCAGAAGAACATTACACCCTGCAACGAAAAATATTCAAAAGAAACGTAACGATTAGTCACCGTGGAAAGCACACAAATAAATTTCAATCGATAGTGCTCGTAAAAATTAATACACTGTTTCGGATGTTTTTTTTTCTCCTGCTAGAACATTAATTTATTAATATCGAACAGTGAAATTCTCCTCCAATCACAGAACGAAAGCAGCTATCAAAGAACTATCAGCGGAGAAAACTTTCATCCGCTTTTCTTTCGTTCTGCTTAGCTTTTCCCGTCCCACTGTTGACGACGACTGCTACAATGATGATGATGCTGCTGATGATGGTGCTACGCAACTAATCAAACATCCCAGCCGACCGAGGTAGTCAAAGCAAAAGCAAAAAAAAAATGACCAGGCAGTGACATTTTTCTCAAAATATGGCACATTTTACAGATCGTTTCACCCGGACCCATTGCCTGTTGGGACAATCGATTGGCGAATCGTCGTCCTTGCCCGCATAGAAAAGCTTACGAGCCGGTGCGGAAGCAAAATAATTGTGCAAAATTCTTTTCCCATCCAAAAAAAAAATATGCAAGCGCATTCTACCTGCCTGCCTGCAGCTCGACCTACCTTGACACTTTAGGAATGGAAATCAAGCAGTCTTCTTGTGACGGATTTTTCACCGATTCGGATATTTTCCTCGAGCACACACGCACAACGTACTGAAGAAATTATCTCCAAAGGGCAAGAAATTTTCCGGAATTGGACGATGAACAACTCCTTTTTTGCTTCCTTTTCTCTATGCTGCTGCTGCTGTGGCTGCTTTTATGTTTTCAAGACGGCGAAGACTGATGTGTGATTTTCTACTGAACGTTTATAAAAGTTTAGTATTTCGTTGGTTACTCACGATCCTAAGTTGACTTGATGTCGTACATTCTGGATATGACATCCAACCGACATAGAGCCATAAACATGGGTGGGAGCGATAACGTAGTGTTCGAGTTGTAGAAAGACGATGGGATTTTCGGTGGCGTTTCGTCTTGTCGTTCACAGAGCCATTGCTCTATACTATTCCAAAGGAAGGAAAAGGAAAGAATGATAAGGAAAGGAGAGAGACGAGAGACCATCCCCGATAGTTGACAGTGCTGTCCAATTACCAAGATAAATATAGAAAATATCGAAAAGGTGAGAAGAATCGTGTAAATCCAGACTAATATTTGAAAAGGGCGGAATTATAAAATCACCATCACGATAAAACCAGGGGTGGGATATGCTGTCAAATCGGCCTTCTGAACCAATGAGCTTTATTACCGAGGGGAAGCAATCGGTTAAGTTGTGTGAGTAAAACCCGTGTACGATACAAGCAATTAGTGACGTCACTACTTGCGTTTACGTTGATTTTTTGGTTTACTAATACAACCATATTTCACGATCTGCTTCACCTCTCTCTGTACCTCATTGCTTCTGAACAGCCATCAATGAGATGTAAATATGTAAGTTTCAGTGAATTTGTCATCTCTTTCCTTCTCTCAATGTTCAAACGGTTGAAGGACCCGCATAAACGCGAACCATAAATTGACCTTACCTAAAATGGTTAAAAATTGTTTATAATCCCTGCTAAACTTTAACTGAAATGGTTATGGAACTATACATGAACGTTTAATGATAAAGTTTCAACCTTATGTATTATGGTTTTTTGGAACTGGACCTTACAAATAATGGGTTGTTAAGAACCATTACCATTCCAAATTCTTGTTTTCTCCATACATTTTCAGAAAGAGAACTATATAAGAACGTTTTTACTTATGATTTGAGAACATTAATGGTAATGGTTATGGTAGTCAGTAAGGTCCATTAATGGTTTTGTATTATCGCTCAACTTTACGTGGAATATATCGTGAATTGGTAATCAGTAAATTACAGGCAACCAATTCGCGATACATTCCACATAAAGTTGATCGATGTTACAAAACCATTCGTGGACCTTACTGACTACCATAACCATTACCATTAAAGTTCTCAAACCATAAGTTAAAAGGTTCTAATATAGTTCTCTTTCCGAAAATGTATGGAGAAAACAAGAATTTGGAACGGTAATGGTTCTTAACAACCCATTATTTGTAAGGTCCAGTTCCAAAAAACCATAATACATAAGGTTGAAACTTTATCATTAAACGTTCATGTAAAGTTCCATAACCATTTCAGTTAAAGTTTAGCAGGGATTATAAACAATTTTTAACCATTTTAGGTAAGGTCAATTTATGGTTCGCGTTTATGCGGGGAGTGTGCCGTCAAACTCCGTCATCCAGCTAATTTACTAGGCCTCACCTGTTTACGCTCATTGCTGTTCCATATGTGAATTTGGTTTCAAACACCAACAAACCAACGTTTATTATGGCTTTGTTGTCGTTTGGAACCAGTTATGCGTATAGTCACTATAATTAATATATTGAATTGGTTCCGATTTTTGATAGATCGAAATTCTATCCGCCAGACTATTAAAGTCTGGTGGATAAAATTTTGACCTATCAAAAAGCGGAGCCAATTCAATATATTGTAGACCAACTATTGAAAAGGTACTATCAACTTTTATGAACAAAACGTTGACTATTCTTTCTTCGCAAATCGAACGCAAATTACCAGTATCATTGGATAGGGGAAACTTTCCTCAACCCAAAGATGGTGTTAGTTTGCGTAGCCAAGCCTTGAGTCACGAGAAAAGGGTTTCCGAAGTTTTGATCGCAATAGCTGATGGGCTCTTTTCTGTTGTTGGTCGTGATTTGCTCGATTGGTTCCACTATTTGACAGCTCAATTGGTTCCTGAGATTCTATCCGCCAGACTATGAATATAGCGACTATAGTTATGCGTATTTGACAGTCACCTCCCCCTTTTTTCAGAAGTCTTTGAAAAATGTCTGTGAATTTCAGAAATAATGTTTGTAATTGGGCTGCATAAAATCAGCAGAAGTTTTGCGTGTGACGGAGAGGGGGGGGGGCTAATCATAAAATAGATGCGAAATTTGAAATGTCAGCAAAAGTCATGTTCAAAGACCTGCTTTTTAAAATTAATAAAAAGATAAATTAAGATTACACGACAAATGAGGTCGACTCAAAGTTGAGATTAATTCACTAAGTTCTTGACAACGTAGTTAACTCATAGGGGCTTATTACGGATGTCACTTTATGGTGAAAACTTGTCACTTGTCGTCACGGTGAAGTGATTCCCATTTGATTTGTGCGGCAATCACGGCTCTTATTCTGAGTATCACTTACTTATCACCGTGTAGTGACACCCGTAATAAGGCCCATAGACTGAGTAAAACTTTCCGAGCTTTTACAGGATTTTTTTTTCTAATATGAGCAACATCTCGATGTACATATTAAATTAATATACTTCTAGAATAAGTAAATTTTTCGTCGATTTTTGTGATATTGCTGTAAGCAATCGTTAGAGAGAGATTCAATTTTTCCCTGCTAAATGTGGAGAAATCGACAATCAAAAGAGCAATTTATAAGCTTATTAATACGATTCTAAACACGTCGTGCTCAAATAGCGGCACCGTTGGTGTAGTGGTAAGCGTGATTGCCTCTCACTCCAAAAGGCTTGGGTTCATTCCCAGTCGGTGCCACCAGGATTTTCTGAGGCATTAAATCTCTGATCACGGGGGCTGAAATTGAGATTCCTGGCGTTCTTAGAAGCAAGCTTGCAATTGCTCATAACAAGTAAAATGCTATTATTCGGAATTATGATCGCTAATTATGACCCTCAAATTGAGATCATCTGAAAGCAAAATTTAGACAGTTTGTATGTGTCATACGCAAAATTTATCTCCCCTTGTTGCATTTTACATATAAAAATGATTATTATAATATCACATATTTTTATTTTTTTTTCAAGTTCTTACTGTTAAACGCTGTCCAGACTGGAGAGTTATAACATGTTATAACGGTTGTCAACTAATTGCAACACAGAAACCACCATCAAGATAGCGCTATAACATGTTATAACTCTGTAGTCTGAACAAGGCATTAGATTACACTATTATGCTACGTTCAGACTACAGAGTTATAACATGTTATAGCGCTATCTTGATGGTGGTTTCTGTGTTGCAATTATTTGACAACCGTTATAACATGTTATAACTCTCCAGTCTGGACAGCGTTTTAAACGCTGTCCAGACTGGAGAGTTATAACATGTTATAACGGTTGTCAAATAATTGCAACACAGAAACCACCATCAAGATAGCTCTATAACATGTTATAACTCTGTAGTCTGAACGTACTATTATTCTTTGTTCAGACTACAGAGTTATAACATGTTATAGCGCTATCTTGATGGTGGTTTCTGTGTTGAAATTATTTGACAACCGTTATAACATGTTAACTATGAGATCAGATGGGATCGCTGCATATTTGAATCGGCTTTTATGGATTCTAGATCTAGAGTTAAGCTCCCCCCCCCCCGTCTCGATGAGTCTCATCGTCGCCCACTGGTCACCATAACCGGTCGAACTCCAGACGAAACTAGAACCGCACTACCGTTCATACTGGCGACAATGCTCTGATGAGACAACGAAACCTTATCCCCAAGCTCCTCCCCTGATCCTATCCTTAGACAATGTACCTCTCTAACCTCGAGTAATCCGCGAGTATTCGGCCCAACTCCTACTAGACATAGAATTAGGTGAATTTTGTTACAAACAAAGAACAATGAACTATCGACTCGGTAAAGCTAACGCGATTGAGCCTTCCAAATAAACGAACTTGTTAAAAAAAAAGAGTTAAGGCCGGCGCACAATAGATACGTTTTCGGGTTTTTTGACAGATAATGCCTGGGCTAACTGTCAAAAAACCTGAAAACGTATCTATTGTGCGCCGGCCTTTAAGCTCGGAGTTTAAGTTTCATGTCTCTTTGTCGGTGGGAAGCATTCGATGTAATCGCTTGTTTGTCAATAGTAAGCGGGCTGTTCAATGTACTTACAATGTAAAAATAAATTTAACCCAAAAAATAACCAGAAAAAAATACCAAAATAACAATAAATTTAATTGTTAATTTTCTGTTGCATTTAAATTTAATGTTAAATGATTGTAGTTAGTTAGTCATGAATGTTATACTGGAGAAAAGCTAATTCTTCATTGTTTTTCAAGAAAACAATGTTCAAACAATGATCCATGTTTAGAATCCAAATTTGTCTGGGGAAAAATCTTGTGTCTTGCAGCAAACAAAAAATTGGGTAAAAACGCTCATGACAACAATAATTGTTGTTTTTTTTAATAGTGTATCTCGACAGTAGTGAGCATGTATAAGGGCGTATACGCGATGATCGATTTTCTCTTTGCACTGCTACAGCTAAGCGAAGCAATTTGCTAGAATTTTTTCAATGCGGAGTTGCAACAGGTTGTATTTGCTATCAAAGGCAACAGCAAACGCACTGAGAAACGTTGAATCTAGCGAGTTATTAACAAAAGAAAAAGTTGGCGAAGAGAATCGATCATCGCGTTTACGTCCTTATGCATGCTCACTGTCGATATAATGTTCGCACAATCGTTGCCCAAGGTAGGTAGAAAAGCTCACTGCGCAATTGCATCAGATGCGGCCCTGCCCACTGTTTCGCAAACAAAACATTCTCGCGACCGAGCTCATCGTGACCGAAAGACGCTCGTTATTCTCAAAATTTGTGTACCTGTTTCTTGCCGAAAGTGCATGAAAGGGAACGAAAAAGGTAATTGTCTGATTAAAGTCTTGTTCAAATCTACCTGTTCTAAGGCACGTGCAATTTTATTTTGTTTAGATCTCCGAAGAAAATAGACTGGTTCTATTTGGCTTGCAGGAGTCATGGCCGAAACAGGTTACACTGAAAACCTTCCCGAAATCGTCTGTGCCTCAAATATGGATTTCTCATCCGACGAAGAAGGGTACGCTTCACCCTACAGTTGCTGGAGCGATGAAGACAACGCTCACAGCAGCAACCGACAACTGATGGACGAACTGCCTGTCTTTTCTACGCAATCTCTGTCACCCTCCGGAAGATCTCTGTCGCCGATAGACGTGGACTTCTCGTCGCCACCGCGAAGTTCCCGCGGAAACAGTGCCTACAACACTCCGTTCGATAGTCCCAGCCAGATGATTCCGATAGGAAAGGATTTCGTCTCGCTAGAGGAAATCCAGGCCCGTATAGGTTTGACCCCACCTGCAGATCAGGATCCGGAGCGATGCCGATCGCCTCGGTTGAACTTGGAGACGATTTTCGAGGACGAGTTCCTGGAGACGCCACCGAAGAATCGCAAGGATCCACGCACGAATCGCGACATGCTGCGGAGATCGTTCCGCAATCGGCCACCGGTGCTGGGGGCGCTGGCGACGACCGTTGTCGAGGCCGAGTGTAGTGTCTCGGCGATTGAAAGTCTGGGCCAGCAATTTGGAAATAAGTTTAAGGTAGGGCTAGATTAGGAGACTTGAATAACACATTATTCAAAGGCGCTCGGTGATAAGTTTTTTTTTTCTTGATAAAAACGGTTTCCCCTAGTTTTAGATACCTACGAAGTGACTAGTTTTGTCCGGAAACAAATCGTTAGTTGTTCTTCTCTTTGTAAAGAATTTTATATGAAGCTTTGGCTGAAGCTCGAAATGTATGGAATGATCTTTTGTTTGTTATTGATTGAAAGAACTGCAAGGAAAATAAAGCTAAGCCTACTTTAAAAAAAACGTTGCCCGTTGACAGTAGTTGTCCGAATATGGGAGGAAAGCTAAAAATGCCTGAATTTGAACTTGTCGGTAAGATTTTCCATTTTGTTGTAGTTTTGAATAACCATTACAATGGGGGAACTTGCCCGTTTTAGATTATAAGGTTCTGGAGAAAATAGGAGAGGGTTCCTTTTCCGAGGTGTATCGCGTCAAGCACAAGCGGACGGGTTTGTACTATGCGGCCAAAAAGCTCCTCAAAGTCTACGTTGATTCGGCGGAAGCTTTGGAATGTTCCGAGATTCAGGTGATGAAGGTTCTTGACTATCACCCGAACGTGGTCAGCTTTGTCGATATCTTGCAGTAAGTCCTCTAATTGCTGTGGGGTCTTTTGTATTAAAATATTAGCTAATTTATGTATCACCGAGTAGCGACGAGTTGAGCGGAAGTTTAACCCTCATGATGGAGCTGATGGATATGAGCATGTACGACTATATCAAGAATCGCAAAAGGTGCCTCTCGGAGAAACTCGTCAAGCGTTTTCTGTTTCAGATTGTTTCAGGTTTGAACCATCTGCATCGAAATGGGATCTTCCATAGGGACATCAAACCGGAGAATATCCTTATCAAAATTCCTCACAAGTTGAAGGAGAGCGAACTGGTTCAATTGGCAGACTTTGGGTCGATCTGCAGTGTCCACCAGAATGCTCCCTATTCGGCCTACATTTCAACCCGGTGGTACCGTTCGCCAGAGTGCTTGCTAACGTCTGGCTATTACGGACCGAAAATGGACATTTGGGCCGTCGGGTGTTGCTTTTATGAAATGCTAACTCTGAATCCGCTATTCCCCGGAGAACATGAACTGGACCAGTTGCATTTGATCCACGAGGTCGTTGGTTCCCCGTCGTCCGCTGTACTGGCGAAATTCAGGCATTTGAATGAGTTGAATTATGAGTTTCCGAAAAGGAAGCCCACCGGTTTCCGGATTCTGATTCCGTTGCTTAGCCATTATGGGGTGGACATTCTGAATCGAACTCTAGCGTACGTTCCGGATGCAAGGATAAGTTCCTCAAAATTGTTGCAACACGTGTACTTTGAGGATATATGGTAAAATTCGTTCCTTATACAGAATGTCTAGTTAGATCGGTGTCTTCTTCCGCAGCCGAAGCAAGAAATCCTCTCGTCTTTCGTCCTCCATGCAGTGCCTTGACGACGTCGGGGACGGTCACGGAATAAAGGGAAGCCCTCGCCGGAAGGGCACCAAAAGTGTAAGCATCTCCACCGTAAAATCATCTTTTTATTATAATACCATTCTTCATCAACTTAAAGTCCATCGGAAGCACCGAATCGTTAAATCGCTCGCTTCAGAGCAAAGGAAGTAGCGTTCTTGCCTCCACTGCGAAATCAAGAATAAACGCCACCTGTTGCGACCAGCGGCCGCCACCGGCCCAACACCGCAACCTGGCGACGGAAATGATCAAGCACAAGAATCTCGAGCGTATGTGGGGTATGAATCCGGGCCCCGGGAAAGCGCGACTTGGACAACAGCTTACCACCACAATCACGAGGGCGTGACGGGACATTTTCTTTCAGTGAGAAGCTTCTATTTTTTTAGGAAAATATTTCATATATTTTATAGCGCAAGCTTATGTTTTACACGTTTTTCCCCTGATGCTGCATTAAATCGGTTTCTCGATAACTATCAAACTAAAGCGTCGTTTTTCCTATACTAAAACCCAAACCTTAAGGCTACTGACTTGTCTCCACGTCTAAAATATCGGCAGCTATGGAAACGTAATATTAAAACGATAAAATGCTCCATAAAATGCTTCTGTACTGCGATAGCTAAGCTACTCAGATTTACTGTTCTGCCCTGTTTTTTTTTAGTCGGGGTTGCGGAGTGCTGGGCAAGCGTCTAGAATGAGCTTCTACCTTTAGAAGTGTTTTAAGTTAGAATCTCCATTTAGAAGCTTATTCTAGACGCTTTCCCATCGCTCCGATCCTGACTAAAAAAATACGGGCAAGAAGTAAATCTGAATAGTTACGCAGTAAAAGAGCGTTTAACCGTTTTGATAAATTACAAAAATCATTTTCTCATAAAATATCTTCGTATGAACGAAAATAAGTTCCATTATTAGCTACACTCGATTCTGTTTTAATGCAATTTTAATTGGGCACAGCATTTTTAATATCATCATAATTGTCGCATCTTTGCTTGATTTTCCATTCAAATGGGACTATTATGCGTTTATGGGTAGCATATTGTTCTTTGAGATCAAAAATAGAGACGAATAAAAATCGCTTTAAAACACAATTGAGTGTACACAACATTGAAACCAAAATACAAATTTAGAAAATGTGTAATGCTATGTTCAGACTGACCATGTTATTAGACTATCTTGATGCGTTTTTTTTTAATTATAACAACTAACTAATTATAACTTGCTAGAACTATATAATAGCATAAAGCCGAAAATTTGGCCAACGTACCAAAATCTGAATTTTCAATTCCGGCGAGAAGTCTACTATATGCCGGCGAAACTAAGTGCGTTATCAACGGCGAACAAGCAAAGGCGGCAGGTCTCCATCAAGCGATATAATTCATGAAGGGCCTCACAACTCACGCTCTCGGTCGCTGAACAGTCACCCCTATTCTGCGAATCGTGTGACTCTCTGTCACTAGTGAGATGACAAAAGTCACGTCATGTGAGGTGACTCTCCGCGCAAGTCGGATGAAGAGTCACGTCACACGACTCGCAGAGTAGGCTTGAGTTATTCAGAAAAAATATAAGCGGAAGTGGGTCAACCATAAACTACTAAAGGACGGAAAGAAGCATCCATATTCTCGATTACGTTTGAACCGTTTGAACCGTATTGAAGAAACTATTGAAAACAAAAACGAGAATATGGATAAAACTGTGCAAGAAAACGCAAAGATTGGAATCTGCCAGGACATCGCAGCATCGGCAGACCCAAGGGCTTATGGCAGCGGCACGGCAAGCGGCACGGCCGAAGAGATCAACTCAAAATTGAGTGGGATTTCACTCGAAATCGTAAAATGTGGTGTGAGTAAAATTTTTCTCGGTTTTCCTCAACAATCTGAGCGGTCACATTTTGCAACCAACATGGCAAATGAGAATAACTCAAAGCGAGAGTCACATCTACTCAACTGTATGATAAATTTATTTAAAAAAAAAACTGCAGGTACGCAGCGCTGAGCAGAAGGTGACTCCCCTCTGATTCTCATTGGCCATGAAGACGAATCGACTTTTTCATACAAGCGTTCGGTTTGACTTCCCCAATGAGGGCCCTGCTTGAATATATGAGGAAAATCGAGGAATATTTCACTCACTCAGGGAGTAACCCCACTTTTAACGATTTTGAGTTAAATCCGACTCAATTCTAAGATGATCTCATTGGTCGTGAGCCGCCCACTTCTTTAACAACTGGAGATGCTCAAGATATAATGTGGACCGTACACGATTGCTTTTATTGACAATAATGGTATTGTCAATATTTTCAATATTGACGGCAATACATCGGTATTGACAATATTTCTGTATTCACATCATCAATATTAATGTCAATAATTCCCCTTCGCGTCAATATATTGATACGTGTGGGGTTTGCTTAAGTATCCTATGCTTGATTGATTGATTGTAAACAATCTGACATAGCATGGGCTTGATTAGATAATAGCTCATATGTAATAAGTAGGGGAAATGTATATAATGTCGGCCTAAGTGTCTCTAATTTGAGCCCATACATAAATTCAGCAATCGACTAAATTTTAAATAGCAATCTAAAATATCCATTAGTACCGTCCCAATGACGCGTTCATCTAGATACAATTGATAAATAGCAGATTTTTAGCGATGAGCCCAATCTTAGATCCATAGGTCAACACGAGGGTCAACATTAGAGCCATTTCCCCTACATACTGAATTGAAATCAACAAAAACGGATAATGGTAAACACATTTTTTCTATCTCTTACGGAAATGTTGGTAACAGTGAGATGGCAGGGGCCCTGGTTGCTTAACATATGATTTTAACCTTGACGTGATTGACGTTAAAGGCTATTCGGGTTAATTTATCGTTCCATATCTAGTGCTCGAAAATAACGGCAAGCGCAATAATTTCGCTTCTGCTCAAAGCTCTGACGGTAATTCACAATCCCCCCTATTCTACGAGTCACGTAACTCTCTCTCACCGGTGAGGTGACAATAGTCACCTCGTGTGAGGTGACTCTCCATTTGATTTACATGGAGAGTCATCTCACACGAGGTGACAATTGTCACCTCACCGGTGACAGAGAGTCTCGTGACTCGCAGAATAAGGGGGAATGATTTTTACCTGAATATCACCTAGCATTAGAAATTTGTTACGTTTTATTTGATGCAAGCTTTTTGAGCAGAATCAGAGTAGTTTCGCTTTCGTGCACATTAAAATTATGCTTCAGGGGCAAACGTCACCAGTCAAATTGACGGATATCGCCGCACGGGCGAATGGAATAATAGCACTTCCGACAACAACACACGAACACAACTGCAGATGACGTCGCAACGAAGCCCGTCGCTCAAGCAGCAGCAAAGCAGCAAAAAAGTGCAAAAGCGTGGTCTGATTCGGGCGGCCATCGCCGACGCGGTAGTGAAAATCGCGAAAACTTTCGCGATTCGATCGCAATAGCTCCAAAAGCAACTGCGGCATTTCGAAGAGGCCATCGAGACAGTTTGTGGAGACTGTGAGCGCCGAGTACGGCACGAAAAGTCATTTGCAGTCACTGCCCATGTTTGCCGTCGTCGCGAGTGGATTCTTTTGACGGGTGCGCGCAGTATCAGCGACAGTCCATTGTCGGCAGGTTGAAGCGACGTTCGATTCCGACACGATTGCCTTGGGACAGTAGGCAGCTGGTGGCAACAACATCGGCATCGACCAGAACCGCCGAGAAACGACGAGCGCTCACGCTGAGACCTCGGACGCCATCTTGTACATCTGAGACCTCGGACGCCATCTTGTACGCCATCGCGTTCAATGCGAAGTAAGTTGCCCACTGCGTACACTGCCGACAGATGGAGGCTAACGAGTTGTTGCCTCAGGGCTTTTTGTTTTCCAGCTCGAATCGACGAAAGAATCAGCGACATAATAGTTTGACCAGCTCAGGGTACAGCGGCAACGCTGAGTGAACTCGGTCCGAAATTGAGTCGCCCCCTGGTCGGCGCTGCACCGTCAAAGGAACTCGGCTTGGACCGTACGTGCCGATACGTTGTCGTGCAAGGTGTGCGAACTGAAAGCGGACCTACATCGCCAGTAAGCGGGTGACGATCTGAACCCGATCGCTTTGAGGTGGACGCCAACCGTCATCAGGCCCTCGAAGCCGGTCGCGGTGGAGCATGCACGGTGCCTCCACGTCGGCACAGTCCGAAGATCGACGGTGATGAGCTGTGAACGAGAGGATGTGCGGATGTTCCGGTAGCAGTGAGTACACCAGTGAAGAGATGAAGCATTGAAGAAGAAGAAAAAAGAACTAGCTAGGCGATTCTGAAGAACAGGAGCTCAGGAGTTAGGTGTAACATGGGAGGGAAATAAAGCTTGCACTATGTTATCGTATGTTTTGTTGTGGTAGTCATTCATGCTCTAGCCGGTACGACCAATGCTTTTGTCCCTGCAGAGGTCGTTTTGCAACAAATTCTATATGAGAAATCATATAGATTTCATTGGACACATAACGTTCATGTGATTTAGTGGTGCAATTTCCAATTATGGGATCACATGAAAGTTATGTGAAATTCACATGGATATTTTCCACTGGTTATGTGATTTATTTTATGAGTGCAGGAGAAGGTAATTTGAAACCCAAATTCGCCTTGATGAGTTCGAACCGATAAGAAAGTCACTGAGAGGGGATACATGTTAATCGCGTCGTAATTCTCTTCTCTGCTTTATTCGTTTTACTGGGGAGGTTGCCCCGAGATCAACCAAGACCACTCTCGAGTCTTGTACTGTTGGAAGGGGTGGTCGTCTAACTCTCCCAGTGCTGAGAAGTCGGTGGGTTTAGTTTCCGTTGTCAGCTGGATTCTTTTGCTATCACGTAGACTTTCCTTTTCCACGACATTCAGGTCGTATAACCAATGAGGCCTTTGCGGAGACTTTGCGCTAACCAGCTCGTTTCCCTTCCCACTTTCGAGAGTAATTAGACCCTTCCCTGAGGGTCTCAACGGCCGGGTAAACCGTCAACTGGTAGGTAGTCTCCGAAAGGAGTGGCGCATAAGGGAAACTCGTTAGGCTGGCCGGTTACAAGGAAAGTAAAGTGAAAGAAAACAAAACATTAGCAGTACGGATGATGGTGTAGTGGTGGAAGGTGCGTCGTTTGTCATTAGCGACCAGGAAACGGACACGGGGTTGGAGATGTTGAATGAAAATAACGAAATGGACGTGACGACCCCGACGACCGACGAGAGTAGCAGAGAGCATGCAACGGGAAACGACGTTCAGAAGCAGCAGCAGCGATAACGATTCGGGTTCAATGAAAATCAGGAACAAATTCGGGAAAGAAAGAAGTTGCGTGCACGGGAGAAGATCGGTTTGTCGCCGCTTCGATCGCCACCCAGGAAAATCCTATTTGTTTGTATTTTGAGTACCAAAATTGGTATTCCATGTTACTCGGCTCCGTTATTTTTTTAACATTCAAGCCTGCCAAATAAACGAAATAAAAAAAAAACTACTTTTTTGCTTCTTTATTACTAGGGACCACAAACCACGGATCTACATACGTTAAGTATAGCCCAGGAAGTGCCTAACAACTTTGTTGAAGGATGTGTGTGCCATGTGCCATGTGTGCCAACATTGCCGGTGTACCAATGAAAGTCAGTCTCCAAACTGAATTTACTTCGGAGTTTCTTATCTTATCGATTTGGTATGTTCAGATGAATTATTCACAAACAATTTTTCAATCTCATCTCGCCCTCCTCACTCATATAAATGATAGTAAAGCTTCAAACTGCAATAACTTCGGTGTTTCTGATCTTGTCAAGTTGGTATGTTCAGATGTATTCAAAAACATGTGCTCCATTGAATAGGCGTAGTTAGGTATGGAGGGGTGGGGGCTTACTGTATGCTTTCCGGTCCTCACTTATATCAATGAAAGTAAAGATAAAGACTAAAATAACTTCGGAGTTTACCATCTCTCGAGTTGTTCGGATAGGTTATTCAAAAGCATTTGCTCAATCTCATAAAAGCAGTTGTAAAGTAAGTACCCCCATTCCCTTCCCTACTCTTTTGGTGCAATATACAATGTCAGATACATTCACACAAATGTCATTGGATTGCAATGACATAATGTCATTGGATTGCAATGATTATATTGCATTTTAATATATATATTATATTCTACGATTTCTCAGGGTACTCATTTTGATGCTGTTCTATGCCTTGAAGCAAATATTGCAGTTGAACTAGGTCTCAGGTGGATCTCTTGATAAGTCAGAAATTACCTTCTTCCCTCATTCAGCCATATCGCTGGCAATCATCAAGGAAGCAACTCGTTGTATCGCATTGAAATAATCTGTATCATTACTCCACTCGTTTGCCGGTTTTTGCATGAAGCCGGTCGAAATTTCGAAAAGAAATCAGCACTGTTAGAAATGACGTTTGACTTGGGAACCCAACTGAATCGTAGCCCAACAAGCGAAATCCGAATGTACCTGTGTCTGAGACGATACTGGTGAAGACAGTTTACGTTTTCTCCTTGGTTTTTGACGTACGACTACTTCTGTGTTTTCTATATGCGGGTGGCCCCAATGCCAGTTCAATATTTCAAACAAAAGCTTTATATAGAAATAAAATAGCAGTTGGACTAATAATTCAAACAACATCTCCTCACTAACAAATGAACGGACAGGTGGATATTAAATATTTATACTACAACAATTTTCGTTTTGAAAACTGCATATAGTAAGCCCCCACCCCCGCTCTCTAACTACGCTTATGAGATTGAGCAATCGTTTTTGAATAATTCATCTGAACATACCAAATCGGCAAGATAAGAAACTCCGAAAATATTTCAGTTTGGAATCTGTCTCCCATTGGTACACCGGGATTTTTGGTGTTTAGTTCAAATTAATTTTAGAAACATTCTAACACCGTACTTTCTTTGGCAAAATTGTTAGGCACATCCTGGACTATATTTGTATTAGTTGCATGGTTCATGCAAAATTGTGGTCTCTAGGGATAAAAATGCAAAAAAGTCCATACAAATTTCAAACGCGATGCAGAAAGCCGATTTACAACCAATCGTCCCCACATTTTGCACAGTTGTTTGGGACTCCAAATGAAACCAAAAAAGGGTTGTTCTCGATTGATGAGGTAAAGTTTGCGTTTTTTTCCATAGAACGATGACCCACTCACTACTCCCCGTACCAATCACGATAGGAAAATGCTAAAAAATTAAAGTGCTTTCCTGTCTATAAAAATTGTATTAAGCTCCATATTGATAGTAAAATATATTATACCTGATCGGCCGTTGCAAAACAAAAAAGAAAAGTCTGATCATTTCGTTTAAAAAAATCGTCAGTCAAAAAAGGTGTCTCAGTGTCTCAACCACCTGCCGGCACGATAAACTTTCGTCTACGGTATACGCTGAACGTCTCCCTCTTAGGATGCTAGCAGTCGATCCAGCATATCTGGATTGTTGTGCAGTTTGATTTTCAGGAAACCGGGGTTCAACTCCACGCACCTGTAAAGAGAATAAAACGGTTATTTAGTTTTATTGAATCATTTTAAATGCTCCAACACTGTGGCAACAATAGCAACTCGCGATCTAAACTCAGTGCTCGTACCTCAATCCCAGGTCCCGTAGCATAGCCTTCACCCGGTGCTTGATGATCGGTATGCCATCTGCCGAGTGCAACCCGCGTCCCGTAATGATAAACAGTTCTTTGAACTGCTGCCTCCGGTGGGTCAGCTTTCTGGCGTGCTCCGCTAGGAAAATCTCTAGACACCGCAGCGCTTCCTCCGAGTGTAGATAGTGCAAATCCAACACATCTACATTGTTCAGCGTCAGCTTGTGCACCTCCATGATGGCATTCGAGGCCTTACTGCTGTACATATCGATTTTGGTTCGATGAAGCCGAGCAACCTGGGCATAGTACTCGGCCACCCCGGCCATGCCCCGCTGAATGGCATTCCGAGCCTTCTCGTGGCATTCGTTTTTCAGTTCCTGGTGGTGTTGGGACAGATTGCGGCATTCTTCGGCCGTTTTCAGGTGAAGATTGATGTCGTCTTCGCTGGATGACGGTCCCTGGTCGACCGTCGGAGGTGGCGACGTTGAGGACGGAGGAAGTGGTTTCTGTTTTTCGGCTTCTGCTCGCTTCAGAAGGGCTTCCCGTTCGCGGGCGATTTGGTTTCTCAGCTCTTCCGGAATGGAATTGTTTAGGACGGTTATAGTGTCGCTGAATTTGTTATGATGGGCATGTAGGATTTCTGCCAGGACTTTCCCGTCAACGCTAGGATACATTTCGGCTAGCTTTTGACGAGTCATATGCGAGGCCAGATCTTGCGGAGCTTGCTTAGCCCAGCCGTTGATTTCGCTTCGGTACGCCGTTAGGGCGTACTCCATTTCCATAATGTCGTTCAGGTTGGGGGAATCCTCGGTGGTCTTCTTGAACAGAACGGGATACTTTTCCTTCGCTTCCATTTGCTGTGCCAATCGGGCATCTTTTTTCATCGTGTAAATCTTGTTTTCCTCCCTGCAGCTGTAGATGGAATCCAAGAACGACAAATACAACTGTTCTGCCATTTCGGTAGCCATGAAAACCTTTGTTCGCTCATTGGTTAGTTCGTCTAAGGAGATGGCACCCGAGCCATGCTTATCCTTGAAAGTGGCGTGTAACTGGCTTATGAGATTAATTCCCAACGTTACTTCCAGCACTTCGGGATCAGATTTGATCGGATCTTCCGTGCTGAACGTTTCCGATTCTACGGATTTCCGATCGGCTTCCTCTTTGCTGATAATTCCCTTGGATGCCCGTATCTGCTGTATATGTTTGGAGTAGTGTTCTTTTCCCAGGACAACGAATGCTTCCAGCTGCTTTTTGGCGTTTTGTAAGTCTTCCGATAGGGCTTTGTCTTTTCTTTTCGTTGTGTTCCGGGGTGATTCCGAGCTGACGGTAGAACGATCGGTTTCGTAGCCCCCTCCTCCACCACCACCACCACTGCCGGAGGGATCACCGGAAGGCACTTGCGATACCATTGTTTCATTGCAATCACATTCAAACGCGAGTGGACCGCCAACCGCACCGGCTTCTGCATTATCAGCTGCCTCGAATTCGTATGTCTTTTGCTCTTCTAGCAACAGATTTGCTGTCCAATCACCGTCCCCATTGCAGTTCTCGAACAAATCCCATAAATACTGGACCGGAATCTGGGGATAGAGGATGCAAATTTCCGAGAAACTAGTGTTTTCATTTTTGCATCCCCGTCTGTGCCTGACCAGAGCAATCCGTTTCTTTTCCGATTTCTTCTTTTCGCTGGGCTTGACCGGCGTCACACCGGCTGAGTTTTCCGGAGTCTTCCATTCTGCCGGGATTTTTATGCTCGACAGAAGGAACGATGTAGGAGCTTGGAGTTGATCAGCTCGCTTTGGTTGAGGAGTTTCAGGAGTTTTTACAAGTCGCTGTGCTCCTCCGGTGGGATCGGATTGGGTCCAGAAGTCGATGCTCTCCTTGTCGTAAGGTTTCCAACTGATTTCGTTGGTCGTAGGCCAGCACCATTCGGGATCGCCTTCGACGTCGGTTTGTACTGCCAGGACCTGCTGGTTGGAGTCCTGATCGTCGGCCATCGAACTGCTACTGTTGGTGGAAACAATCGTTGTGTGTTTTGGTGTCGCCAGCCGTGGCGGTTTCGGGATTGGAATGTTTGCTAGGTCTATGGCATTATCGTCGGCGTCTGCTTCCCCATGGGTAGATTTCGTTTGCGAATCGTTGGAAGCTTCCCAATCCGTCGTAGACCATTCTTTCATAGCTGTGTCCAGAGATGATGGTTCCGTCGTTTGTTTCTAAAATTAAATGAAGATGAAATCAAAATGTACGACCGAGATACGGTGTGAATAAGAGACTTACCTGGTATCTGTTTTGATTCTCGTCAATATTCAGTTGCAAATCCTGTTTGAGTATCGGAAAATGACGCATCTTCTGCGGAAGATACAAAGCGTGCTCCAATTTGCACTGTTTGTACAGCTCAGTCGTATCCTTTAACTTTTCATAATTCGTCAACATGGCCTTAATTTTCCCCTCTGGCACGCCATGTGTATTTCTGGAGGCCAAACTTCTCGAGTTGAACCTCCAGTGCGTTACCGGTTCCAACACTTCTAAGTGGTACCCATTGTCTGCCGCAATCTGCACATAGGCAAACATTTCCCACAGCTTCATGTGGGTATTATCCACCACAATGGGGCTCCACCCATCTCGCGCCTTTGCTAGAACATTGTTCTGGTTGAACCGATGGGCATCTTCGATCCTATCCGCCTGGTACCTGTAAACCCCGTTCACGATGAAGTAATCGTCCGCACTGAAGACGTGATTTCGATAATCTCCATTTCCGAGCGTCTTATCGATAAGAGCACGCGAGAGATAAGATTTTCCAGAACCTGGAGCACCTCGCATAAGAACCATCACTCGATAGCCCCGGTTGATGAGATCAACGACGGAATCAAAATTTGAAGGCCATTTGTCACCCCGGCGAATCATGTTGGAACTACGCTGAGGCTGGGGCAGACTGCCAAAACCTTGCGGGGTACTTCCTTTGTGCAGGAAGGAGGCAAACGAGAGTGATTCGTTCGCGGTTGGTTGTTGAGTGGAAATCTTCTTGATAGCTCCCGTAGAAGCGGCTGGTAACGGTTGCTGCAACATTGCATTTTGCGAACTTTCCGAATTCAATAGCATATCCCATGAATCTTCCGATTGTACCTGGAGAAACTTGGGACTATCGTCAACGGTTTCATCCTCATCTTTTAACAGCATTTCAATACATGCTTCCACTACCGGAAAAAGAGGAAGAAACAATACAAACAAAATCATTTAATGAGTGCACTTCAAGGTCACAAAATGAATACATTCTCCCGCTTGGGGGGAAAGAACAAAGCCCTATCGCTTGCAACGATCAGCTACTAAAACAAACACTCACGATCGTTGTTGCATCTTTTCACCGTATTTTGGATCCGCGTCTGGTCGATGTAATCACCGAACATTTCCGTTAACTGAGCCAGTATTTCGTCCCCGAGCATGTTCAATCTCTTCGATCACCTAATCACAATGAACAGGTTTCTTCCTACTTCAAGGTTGAAGCTGAAGCACATTAAAGAAGGTGGCGTAATTCCGCTGGTCTAACAACGGAAGACTCACGACGTCGACAATATACTTTTGATCAACGAACAACTGTCACAAACACTAACTTTCGAAAACAGCGCTCAAAACTCGCGTTAATTAGGCAGCGCAAACATATAAATCCAGATTAATCCTATTATTACCACAAGTAAAATGGAGAAGAAAAAATCCGCCCGCGAGAATGCATGCGAAACAATGTAAATAAACAGTACCAATGATGCGAAAAGCCACGCACATGTTATGACAAACTGTCAGCCGGGGTCAGAGACAAGGAACGAAAGAAAGCAGTGCAGCCAGAGATGGAATATTTAAGGGGAGCCGCAATACCGTCACTGTCAGCGTCCCCGCATAAGCGCGAACCATAAATTTTCCTTACCTAAAATGGTTAAAATTGTTTATAATCCCTGCTAAACTTCAACTGAAATGGTTATGGAACTTTACATGAACGTTTAATGATAAAGTTTTAACATTAAGTATTATAGTTTTTTTGAAGTGGACCTTACAAATAATGGGTTGTTAAGAACCATTACCATTCAAAATTCTTGTTTTCTCCATACATTTTCGGAAAGAAAACTATACTAAAACCTTTTAACTTATGGTTTGAGAACATTAATGGTTATGGTTATGGTAACCAGTAAGGTCCATTAACGGTTTTGTAACATCGATCAACTTTATGTGGAATATATCGCGAATTGGTTGCCTGTAAATTACTGATTACCAATTCACGATATATTTCACGTAAAGTTGAGTGATAATACAAAACCATTAATGGACCTTACTGACTACACAGCAAAAAAAAAATGTAATATCGATCAATGTAATTCAAGCTGATGTATGAAATAATGATGTAATAGCAAAAAGCAGATAGAATATTACATCAATGGATGTAAATTTGTTCGCAAAATCGATGTACATCGTACAACGTTATATTACACAACCGATGGATTGACGTGGTTGCAGCAGTTTAGATGTAATATTCAACAATTTTTTTTTTCTGTGTACCATAACCATAACCATTAATGTTCACAAACCATAAGTTTTTTTTTTTTTTTGTTCTTTATTATAGAGATTTTTAGCCTGAGGCTAGGTCATCTCTTACAAACCATAAGTAAAAACGTTCTAATATAGTTCTCTTTCCGAAAATGTATGGAGAAAACAAGAATTTGGAATGGTAATGGTTCTTAACAACCCATTATTTGTAAGGTCCGCTTCCAAAAAAACCATAATACATAAGGTTAAAACTTTATCACACAAACGTTCATGTAAAGTTCCATAACCATTTCAGTTGAAGTTTAGCAGGGATTATAAACAATTTATAACCATTATCGGTAAGGTCATGTGATGGTTCGCGTTTATGCGGGTCAGCGTCAAAGTGGAATCTGATCAAAATTGACGGACTGCCCTAATCAAATTTGCATGGTTATTTTGCTTAATGACATGTTCAGGGTATCGTTCAATCCATTTGTGGAATAGTTCTATCGTTTGAGTTGTCGTTCACGTATGGTATTTTTTTTTATTAGGTTGACGCAGCGTCGATGTGAAGTCGCCTAGTAGAGATGTCAGTGGAAAACCAAAAAAAAAAATTACAGTGAAATTTTCAGTGGAAACAATGCTCTAACAATAATATTTATTGTCAACAGTAAAAATGATTGTTAAAATGTTGTACTCATCCGAAAACGGCAAAACTGCTTCCTACCTGTACAATGTATGTACATAATAAAATGTTGTTACAATGATTTTTTGACGTTGGATAACGTCTTTCGGCAACATACGGGGGTACAAAATTGAAAACAGTCATTTTGGATGCGTTACGAAAAATTAAAAGATTTTGAACGATAATAACTCAACCGTCTCTCGATAGATTTACGAGATAATGGCATCAATCGATTGGAAATATTTCTAGCAATTTGCTGAATGTTTCAAATCTATTGATTTCATTCTGTAAACTATTGAAAAATGGTTAAGAGTAAACCATTGTCTAAAGATGGTGAAAATCAATTGATTTTTTTTTATATTCTTATACTTTCTCCAACCGAGACATCAGATGCAAGTATCTGACACCTCTGATATTTTCTGTTCTACTATATAACCGTCCAACAAGGTCGCCCGTTCCATCATTGTCAACAACATCAGCCCAACAAAACGGCCCTTTTCAGGGCCACCAAACTTTCGCAAAAGAGTTATTAATACCCCGTTCACATTACAGCGTATATCACGTGATATACGCTGTCTTGCAATGAGCACTCGTACATCTAGTTTTCACTGGAAATCCTATGTATGAGTGCTCATTGCAAGACAGCCTATATTACGTGATATAGGCTGTAATGTGAACGGGGTATAAGGAATATTCCTAAAATATAATATTAATTAAGTACACAATTAAGTACAACACATAACAGACGTTATCCAACGCCAACCCTTCCAACTTTTTTCGTATTTTTCATTTATTTTATTGTTAACATGATTCGATCATGAACAATAATGATCATCTCTATTACAATAAAAAATGTTGTTACATTAAAAATTGGTGTGTTTTCATTGTGGGTTACCTCACGAACAATAAAAATAAATCTGATTGAAGCATGCAGACTATGAGAGGGACAGCAACACTGCCAATGTAATCAAGATAGGCACTGCTCGTATGGCTCTGGCTTTGACAGTTCGTTTGGCTCAAAACCAGCCAATCCACGTCCGCTCATCTCTTATCCTAGACCCTCACTAAAGCTGGGTTAAGATGGTTCAATTCAGCGTTCAACTCACTTGAACTGCGAAATGAACGTCCAGAAATCTGACCGATATCGGACTTGCTCTATTCGTTGCCAAGTCAATTGAACGCCTACAACCAGATCGGTTTGAGTTGAATTCAACTCACCTGCCTCATCTAAATCCCGCTTAATGCAGACCTTTTCCGTGCAGTCAATAATCATACAATATAATAGTGAAAAATTCCACCACTTGAAGATGTCAGGAAGGAACTCTCAGGTGCAAGCATATTTCATGGGCGATTCTCTCCAGTAGAATGCATTAACTTATCAACGACGCTCAACCACCAAGGAGACGTGACCTAGAGAGATCGAGTGCAGGGGAGTTGGCCTCCATTTCTCACAAGTTCCGGATCGAATCCCAATCCATAACCAGTAAAAAAAGGACTCACCCGCGATAGACATACCACCCCCTTCCCTTCCCGGGGCGATGGTTTATTTTTTCAATTTATTTTTAATTATTTAGTTATTGAAAAAAAAAATATATATGGGGAAATCACGAAAATTTCATTGTTAAGATACTTAACAACCCCCCTTTTTTATTGTAAATTTTCCATTTACCATGAAATTTGTACAACATAAATCAAGGTAAATTTATTGTAGACGTAACAATATAAATCATTGTTAAGACAATAATTTTCGTCTTATTGTTACATTGTTTTTTAATGTATTTTTGTTGTTATATTTTTTTTGGGGTGTCGCGCACGACAACGAAGTGAGTGTAGTAAAAAACGTCTACTGTTTCAACCCCTGACCAGCCCTAATAAAAAATTACCATAAACGAACGATAATCCAAATGATTGAACTATTCCCCAAATGGTTTGGATGATACCCAGAACACGTCGTTAAGCAAATTAACCATAACATTTTTATTAGGGAGGGTAATCCATCGGTTGTGTAATATAATCGATTTTGCGAACAAAATTACATCCATTGATGTAATATTGTATCTGATTTTTGCTTTACATCATTATTTCATATGTTGTATACAACAGCTTGAATTACATTGATCGATATTACATTTTTTGCTGTGTATTAAATTATTAGTATTGATGGGTACATATATTAATGTTTCCGTGTCTTCCACCGAATGGTTCAGTGACAGAGAACGATCAGATGTGCAATCAGCTGTTTGAAAAAAGAAAAAGAAAAAAAAATCATTTGACGTTTATTATTTTTTGTTTGTTGCTCCGTTTTCGTTTATTTTACCACACATAAAATTTTGTTTCGACAGCATTATTCGCATTTTCGTGTTCTCTGTAAACAATTCGTGATCAACATCGAAACAGCTTCCGTAGAATGGAAAATTCATTCCTCAACATGGTAAGACTCCAATCCGTCAACTTTTGGTAGAAACAAAATTCAATTTTTCTATGTTATTCCCCTTAGGCACACGTCCACGGTCGAAGAGCAGAGCACCACACAAAGCATCGACGCTTTGACGAGGCCATCGAGAATCATCGGAAGGCTGCGTCCTACATTGACGAAGCGCTAAAAATCGCCCCCCAATCGGCAGTGGTCCTGGAGTCGCTTCAATTGCAACGCAAATATCACCTGAAGCAGGTGGATTTTCTTCGTCACAAAAAACAACAGTACGAACGATACATGAAGGCGCTGGAATACCAGCGCAAACGGAATCCGGAGTTTTTGGCCAAGCAGCTTGAGAAGATGGAGAAGCACAGCGAGTTACAGGTGGCACTCTATCAGAATCTGGACGATACGGATGGCTTGCTGGAAACGATGATGGGAAGCGGTGGCGATAGGAAAACCTCCGCGACGGAAGATTTGATATCATTGAATCACTCGTTGCGTGTTCTCGTTTATCGGATGACGCAAAGTATCGACGAATATGCGATGGAAAATGAAACGCTCAAGGAAAAATTAAGCATATATGAGAAGGAAACCGAACAGCACCCGGCGCTGACAAATGTGCCGAAGAGTTCGGAGAAAAGTAGAGGAGAAAGGATTCCCTCGCTGGAAACCGGAAGGGATGCTTTGGAAGCGGTTGATTTTCAGCCGGAAGAATTACCGGCTCTAGCGCCGTTGGAGCTTCCGACGTTCGATATGCCAGAGTTTGAGAATAATTAGATGGAAATGGTCTATCGGAGCAACAATAATTAAATCTCTGGTTAGATTAGAGGAACGAGCAACGACTGACCGCTGAATCGCTTCGTTTGTTTTTAATTTCTAGATAAAGTATCATGTGATGGTTTAGTTTTAGTTTTAAGGTTAACTGTATGTAATTAATTGTAATTTTAATTATATAGATGCTAGAGTAGTAAACCATGAAACTGTGTTTCCAGAATGTTATTTTATGTAATTTGACTTGTTCATTTTAAACAATAAAGTTAGAAAATACGGATCATTATTTCAACGTTATTATTAGAGTCTGTGTTCAAACTATACTGCCGCTAACGGCAAGTCAGTCCTATCTGTGAAAATAAGCGGAAATGGGAAAATGCCTTGCAAAGATTTTGCGTATTTTCTTACGCCTTTTACGTCGATTTTTCCTTTTAATTCTAGTACTTTTGTATTAATTTCACTATCACTTCGAATTATAACAGATACGTATTTCGTTTACTACTTGCAAACTTCTTGAGTGTCTAGTCATAGAGAAGTTTGCAAGTAGTAAACGAAATACGTATCTGTTACATGGGGGAGAGGTAGCTCATCGATTCTTCCGGTTCGCCTCCTAGCATCGTGCTATAAGGTACCAGGCGATAACCAGGGTAGTTGATCGATAGCTCGATGACGTCATTTCGTTGACGTCTGCAATTGGAAATTCTCATAGCAGGCGTTGACGATGGGACGTTGTCGAGTTGTTGAATAGCAACTATCGTGATAACTCACCGATTACCTGTCGATCTGCCAAATTTGGAAAGACGTCTGCATTGAATTGTCTCATATAATAATATTCCGCCCACTATATCACAAGAAATTGCGAGTAGCTGAGTGGAATGGAGATAAGTTAAGCATTGGGTACAGGACCAAGTCTCCCCTGGGTGGTGCCAAAAGATGAGCGCAATAGAATCATCAAGTTGCCATAAGGCACGGAATGAGACTATTGCATGGCTGGGTAGTCAAAGTCTTCCATTCGTTAGTCATTTCAGGTGGATTAGAACAGGTTTAGGTTTAGGGTGGGCGTTGGCCAGATTTGGATTTTTCAGATGTAATCCTGGATAGGACCCTGTCATTGAACGTCGCGTGAAAGTGGAACTTAATGAAGGCCTAAGTACTTTTTCGTAGTTTTTAGTTTTCGGATTTGAAAGATCGTCGGTTACAGTGGCCTGCTTACTGAGCAGAAAAACGCTGTCCCAGGTCCTTACATATCAAAGAGATTTATGGTAAAATCGCTTGTGTATCGTGTATTTATTATTATCATTTAGCTTTATTAAGGAGGCTTTCAGCCTTGGGCTGGTTCGCCTCCATATATCGTGTATTTTGCGAAACTCGTTGTTGTCGTTGGTTCCGGGTTTGAATGGATACACAAATTTGAGCAACGGTATTATGTGATATGAGGGGCTCGGTGGCCTTAGAGTTACCGTTTTTGCTTACTGAGCAGAACATCATGAGTCTAATCTCAGGCCCATCCACATTCAAGATTCGTCAATCGTTTTATTTGTTAATATGACTACATGGAAATAACAGCAACTCGGTGATTAAAAAGGTGCTCGTCTGCCTAGTGGCAAACGTTTTTGCTTACTGAGCAGAAGACCGTGGGTTTAGTCCCAAGCTCTTTCGCGTTATATGATCGTTAGGACATCAATTCAGCTTATCGTTTACCAAACCGAACCCTGCTGCAAACCCAACCCTCTTATCCAACATCCCAGTGATTCCTCGTGGAAGTGCAGAGGTGTTCTCGGCTTCCATCAAAGCGAGTGTCATGTCAACACAATCCTTCCCATTCCTTGCTTGACCTGTGTTCGGGCACGGCCGGCGCTGGTATTGCCTAATTTAAGATCACCAGTTTTTACACATTGAGGATGATTGCTAGTCCCAAGCCGTCTATTGGTTCTCTGTGTAATTACAGCTGATCTGGCAGTAACAGAGTAGCAACCGTGGGCGGTCAATCAAGCTCAAGCTCAAGCTCAGGCTACGGTGACCACTTACAAGACTGCTTACAAGTACTAATTATCATTAAAACATCCAATGTTTTCATAATACGGAAAAACAATTATTTATTGCAAGTCAGTGGGAGTAACCCTGCCTTGAGCATCTACAAAGTTCCATATTTTCTGCCGATGTTTTCTCAATTTAACAAAGATCTCAGAGCATCCATGACCTTCGTCACGAGCTTCGTCAAGCTTCAGCTGATCTTTTTCTACGAATTGTGTTAAACATCTGGGTAAATTAAACCCTGAAGTTCTAAGAAGTATGCTGAACAGCTACGATGCTCCCTGAACCTCTATAAAATTAGCTGAACTGTTTGCGGAGCTTGTACAAATTTTGCTGAACTTCTGCGAAGTTCCATGAAGAATTAAACAGTTCTCAGCACTTATATGAAGTATTACTATAAAGTACACTGTACTTCCAAAACGTTCCCTGAACGTTTTGGAATTTCGTTGATAATCTGTGAACTTCCCTGATGTTCTATAAAGTTTCCTGAACTTCTACGAAATTTCCTGATCTGTCATAAGCATCATAATATTACCTATAAATCTTTTCATTTATGTAGACAACTGTTGCCTGCTGAGCAGTTGATGGGGCATGTCAGAAGAATAACATCTTCTTAATTAATTAATAACTAATTATGCTGACGATAAATAAAAAAAAAAAAAAAAAAGTTTAACAAAGTTCTAGCTGATAATATTTTCTATTACAGTTATACCATAGAGGTAACTCAAAGACTAGTAGGTCCAGAAAAGACGTGTTCAACTTTTTGGTTCAGCTCTGGTACTATCTTCGGTCCCAAGCTAATCGATTCACCCCTCGAAACATAGGAAAATCCACGAACCCCTTATTTTTTCCTGTCAAGCCTTCAAAGCGAATCAAAACAAACATAGTTAATAAAATTTCGACTAGAATGGGGTACGTTAATCGATTTGCTTGGTACCAATCCCAACAAACAATTGCCTATTGAAGAAACGACCTTTTGACGATTTCATTCAACTGCATGCTTAATAATACTTCTGTTCAGACTATGTTCACACAAATCTGGAGAATTTATTCAAACCACAACATCGAAATATTTGGTGTTGAATAAGGTATGTTGAGAAGCTTTTATTCGACTTAAAAGTGTTATAACAGAGCTTATTCGATCAAATTTTTAATTATTCAGCGTTTATTAGACATCATTACTTCCTTAAACAGCGATGGTATAAAGGTTTTTATAGACGGTTGATTCTCATGTGAAGTAATATTCGATTAGACACTATGAAACATTTATTAAACTACGCGATAATTAATCCGAAAAAATTGTGTCATTATTTCTGTCGAAGCACGCACCCACCACACACATATACTAGAAAATTTATTACATACATACACACATGTTGTTAGATGAGATTCGAACCATAACCTTCCAATCACCAGCCGCTTACCTTGCCATCTGAGTTATCCTAGAATACATCATACGGGCTGCTAAATAAGCAATAAAAGCTTGAATCTGAATACCTATCAGCACTTCCAGCCGTAACTCTAGCTAGTTTAAGGAGATGTGAGAATGATTAATTCATTCATAGTTGTTTTACATGAGACCAATGTTACCTCTCCATCTCTCTAATTTCGATGGAAAGGATGCTGGGTTATTCTTTTCGATAGATCGATGAATTGGTTGTCGTGAGTGATACGATCTATGATTACGATTTAAATTAATTATGCGTAGAAAATAAATAAAAAAAAGGGTTGGGGGATTGAACTCGCGACCTTCTACTTGGAAAGCGGAAACGGTAACCACTAAGCTACCAATTTCGTTTTGTTGTTAGCCTGAAACAGTGTTGTGGAATAATGAATGAATACGCCTTTTGTAAAGCATTTACAAAGCACGCAATTAAAACATGGACGCATAGTCTCGCGCATAGTGGTATAGAGCTATTATGCTGACTGTATTCACCTTTATTCAGCAATATTGTTAAGCAATGCAATGGAATCTAAAAATGAAGCTAGAAAACGTCAAATGAAGCATGTTATTAAATCAATTGAAAACAGTCGAATTAAAGTGTCAATGTATGTACAAATTACACTTTTTCAGTTTGTTATTAGATCAAACTATTGGCGTTGAATTGGGAAGACATTTAACGCTTTTACAGCTTTTAATAAGTAAATTAATCAGATCAGAGCAAACAGTGAAATAAATGTGCATCTATCGATCTCAATGAGCTTTTTCAACACATAATTCGACAACTCGTTTTATTCAGCATTGTACACTGTTAACCAGCATTTATTCAATATATATGCTTATTTGTGACTCTGAATTGTTTGTTGGGATAGGCTAGTCAAGTAGTGAGCCAATTTGAAATCGTTAGTTTCCACCAATTGGTTATACCTCGATATGACGGAATTGACACTTTTGACTTCCATCGTTAATATCTTGATAATAACAATTGAATCATACAAATTAATATTAACAACAGATGAGGGATTATCTCATCTGTCTGATGGCGTTATTACTTTGCTTGTTTGAATGATCGTTTGCGAGAAATCGGCGATGAAAGTCTAAAGTGACAGTTACCAGAAAACATAAAAAACCATGATTTCGACGTTAACAGGTAAATTATGCTTTTGGTACGATATTTTAGTTCAAATGCTACCAAACGAAGTCAATAAGAACGCGTGATATGAATGTTTGCACTCAATATTCTCAAAAACAAATGAAGCGCCTCCGACCGAATCAATCTTTATCTTCATCCGATAGGCCGAAGTGAATTCATTGGCGTTTCAATGGCTTTTCAATGCGTTAGGCCGAGTTTGGCATCAAGAAGCAGTGTTAGACTTTTGACAATATCTCAACGATTGGTTTCTCTTTATCAAATCTTACGATACGTACAGAAAGGTAACTAAATTTGAAAGCCATCAGTAATAATAACATTCCGTTTGGTGCTAAACTGCGCTAGATTAAGAAAGACTAAGTGCGGGTTGTGCTTAATAGGCCGGAAATGGGGTAGTTAACCCTATACAAGTTATTGCTTTGGGCCTTCGGGGGGCGGTTTTTCAAAACAATTAGACTAAACTAGAATGCATTTATTGTGTCCATTTGAATTCCTGCACAAAAATACAAAAGAGCGGAAATGCTTACTAAGTAACTAGTTATTTACTCCTATTTACTTGCTGTTGCTAGCCCTGCTACCATGAGGTGTCGGGTTGCTTACTGCT